GTACTGGCTGCGGCCATGTCATGTACTCCGTACTGACCAAGGTAACAACAGGTGATTGGAGGAGGAGCAGCATCAGCATCAAGTCAGGGTCCAAGGATCTTCCTGATCGTATGAGTTGTCAAATTGAGTAAACCAAGTGACTACACCAGAGCCATCTATACGAAAGTGGCCGAGAGAGGGAGGGAAATAGATTGCGAATGTGAGGCAAACTAGCCCTGCCTCCCCGTACATACGAATACAAAGCGAGTGACAAGGAATCGAGCCAATCAAATCTTACAATCACATCCACAACCAGTTTGAACCATCTGCAACGTTGAGAGACATCCGGACTGCCGTTGGACTAGTAGCCACTGCTACTCCGTATTGGAACAAGTCTAAATACGGAGGGCTATCGTGTGCCCTGCTTAGTGGTTTATGCAACCTGTCCCCTTGCTAGTTGGTGCGTGGGACCAGAAAATAAAACAGAAAGAGACATGGGCTTTGAATCAATCAATCAATCATCACACACCAGGTGGCAGGAGAAGATTTCAAAAAACCAGAAGCGTTATCCGGAAACAGACAGAGCGAGACAGATTGAGTGAGGTCTCCACAGAAGAACAGATCGTGGATTTTGTCTCATTCATTTCCATGGTGAGAGGCTGTTCAATCCCCACGAACAAAAGGACCTGAGTTATAACTCCAGAAGATTAGGTCTAAATCGTGATTAAATATCGAGTACAAACTCGAGTATCACACAAGCATGTTTGCATTTTAATGTATGGAGGAGTTTGACGCATGTTCTGTCCTACAAAACAATAAAAATGGTCTGGAACTTTACTTTTACTACCTACGGAGTACGTAAGTAACTACTCCGTAACATCACGGTTACTCCTCCATCCCTATTACAGGTTGGGGCTTGTTGATCCGTAATAAATCAAAAGCTGAAAGGAATACGGAGTATGGGCAGTGCATCTAGACAATGTTAAGCGAATTGTGGCGGCCACTCAATGTCGAAGGATTCTTCTCTGTCACATGGATACCACTCCGTACGAGTTGTTGGGCAATACCATTGCCACCACCGCCATCATCGCTACCAAACCATTTCTCAGGGCCTAGTTCTGGCCATGCCATGTCATGGAATGGTATTTCTTTCCCCTGCCAACGGGGTCGACCTCAACCATAACAAATGACAAAAATGCAGTTGAACAGACTAATGACCTTCGTGCAGGACTAGTGTGCAGGGGAAAAACGGTATGCAGCCTGCAGTGTTTACGGGACTAATAGTTGGCGCAGTTGATTGATTGTGGTTGTTGCTGTTGCTGTTGTTGTCAGGTTCAGGGATTGCCCATCATGCCGTGCCAACTGTCAAGTCGCTAGAATCTGTTCGTCCAAGACAACGCAACGCGTCGAGCTTCCCAACTTTCGACCCATCATGAGTCTAAGTCGGAAACCGGCCGGAAACAAGGCCCGTGCCTGTTGTGGTACCTTTCACATTCAGGTGCAAGATATGATACTTTTGCATTTTATGTTAATGCTGTATACCGGTGCCATACTCGGTAAAGACACAGAAAATTCCAATTCATATCCTTCCCAAGAGCATCATCATGTTGGAGAGGGCAAAGAAAGAGGAGGCGAGGTGTGGATGAGTGGGTGGATGGGATCACCGCTGTCGCTGCTGCTCTCAGCCTGACGGGCAGATATGAAGACGAGCTAGAAGCGCCACAGACCTCCCCTACTCGTCCTAAAAACACCGTCAAATGGATTCTTGATTCCGAACCCCCGTTTACAAGGATCGATCTCGACACATGCTGAAATACGGAGTACCGATCGCTCATTGAGATCTAGTGCCCATGGCCACCCTCAAGTTCCACTCTCACCAGATGACGGATCAGCTCCAGATCGAGCCGAACGGCCTCATCGTTTGAAGTGAGCACTGTGCCGCTAGGCCATGGGATCGTTCGCTTTCAGGCTCGATCTCCAGCTACGCCCAGCCTTGTTTGCAGTGTGGCCTACGGGGTACATTCTTGGAGATTGGCCATGTTTCGCGTTGGTGTTCGAGGTTGCAAGCTGGAACATCTCTGGCGCCGTGGCGCCAAATCTTTCTTCTAGGTATCATCGGTGATAGGTTGTCGCGTTTCGACGGCTAGGCGGCTAGTCTCCTGCGGCTTCCTCCTCCCCTTGCGACGGAATGCACTGCGTCTGCCAGTGGCGCTCAGAACAGAACTCTGATAGGATAAAGGAATGGATCTCACGATGATGAGATCGGTGTCTACGGCCGAATCTCATTCCAACACAAATCCCGACAGCTTGAGCCAGGTGGCGTCTGGGGAGGGATGGTCTTTCACTGGCCCCGTTCATGTCGACTCGCCAATATGAACCCTGAGAGGGTGGAGAGGCTAGACAGCTTTTCGCCGTCGCCATCTCACGCCCGCTGTCCAACAGATTGGGTATACAAACAGTCGCCAGATGAAAGGACAAATGGTCCAGATATTCTCACACACCCTATGTTGACCAACACGTCGAATACTAACTCCCGTAGGTAGGTGGACATCTCGAAAAAGGCAAGTCCCGTCCACGCGTGAGCGTCCTTCACAGATCCTCTAACGGCTCGTAGGCCGAGGCCGAGAGGCAGTTCCCGTCCGCTATCGCCTTCTTCTTCCCTCTCTTCCACATCTCTGACAGTCCTAGCAGGGGCAGAAGTGGTGCTCAGTGGAGAAGGCCTCAGTCAAAAGAGACCAAGCAGCATCCCCTAGCCGAGCCGAAAGATTGCTTTAGACCATCTTCCCGACAAGCAGTGAGTGCATTCGATTGCATGTGTCATGCACACCTTCCCATCGCCATTTCCTTTTTACCTCTTTCGAGGAACATGCAGCCTGTCAAGCTGTAGCTTTTGTCGGTGTAGAGCTCGAAGTTGCCGTGGCTTGCTTCTACAGGAAAAATCTTTTCCAGATCAAGACCCGTATATTCCATTCCCGGACACAAAGAGACATGCAACACACTCGCTCTCAAATGTGCTGCGTGGCGGTCGAGGATCATCCCCTGCGCTGCCCTTTGAACGAGAACAAGCTATCTGAACTTCTCACGATGCAAGGAGCAAAAACAGCCCTCAAATGATGGCAGGAAGTCAATGACTATCCGTTCGATACGCACAATACAGTACCTACGTACAGGTGTATCTCGCGCGTACTCTCGTGTATCAAGAGTCCGTCATGCCCCAACTCCTTTTTTTTCCTCAGCTGTACCTCTACAAAGATACGGATACTGATCGCCCGAGGGATTGCCATACACTTCAGCCCGTACGCCGTATTTTGGGGCAGAAACCGACACCCCTCGCAACGTTGTCGATGTCGTCTATCGGGCAAGTCTGTACTGAGTCGGCCCTACGTATCAAAGTAGAGGCTTGAAAGCTCCCAGATTTTGGTATGTTCGCGTAGCTCTCAGGCTAACATATCGCCTATCGTTGGGTTCACAAACTAGTTTAGTGCCCGGTATCCGGGGTCGATCGGCGCCGGACCGCTTCGAGGAAAGTAAAGACTTCAAGTCAGGAGGTACAAAGGTTGTATGGTCTGGTATAGGGTTGGCTCTGGAACGTTTCGTGACGGCGAGAAAAAAGCAAATACCTACCTCTGCATGTGTGTTAATACATGCTATGGCCCGATGTCAAATCACGGATGCTCGGTACTATGACACATTGTCGAAGAACACTTGACAATAGCTTAAGCCGAATCGATGGAACTCGATCTTTTCCCAAAATCAAACCGGGACAACTTGCCTAGGTGTTCGTTCTAAGAAGCCAATCAAGGACTTCTACCTATGGCTTCGTGCTCGTCCCGCTCTTGTGTCTCGGAGACACTTTGACATGTTCTGATGCACCAGAGGAGAGCAGAAAGCTCACTTGCCGACATCTCCTCAAGTCCGAACTCTTTTAGGGTCCTATTGCAGCTGATAGCGATCCCTGCCAGAATAGCCACCTGAAATTTGGCCACGTCCTTGGGAACTGGGCAATCTTTACGGAGCGCCTGAGACCAGAGTACGAGGCTGCCGCGTCATGTCGTGCATGTAGCATATGCTCTGCTCCCAATACTTCAGGTATACTCCTGTGCTAGTGGCTAACTGTTGCGTGTTTTTCCTGGCGATACAAGGTGAGGAGCACTCGTGCAGTGGCCAAAGTCCGGTGCCCTGCTGGAACAGGAACAGATCGTGACGGTGTGGTGAACTGAGAGGGGTTTTGTTGGCTGTACCGAAGAGCAAAGAAGCTCTTTGACGCTCCTTATAGTGTCAACCTCACCACTATAGCCCAAGATTTGGTGATCGCTCCTCGAGTACTCGTGTGAAGATTGTCTTTGATTAAGCAGTTTGATCACGTGCTCATAGCCTTATCACGTGACGTCTGGTTTTTTGGCGGCGAAGATATCACTTGTCTGCGCAGATTTCGAGTTTTGAACATATGACCTAGGTCCATCGTATTCGATTCTGATAATTGAATTCGAGATGTGTAAGGAATAGAGGAGAAGCCACGCGCAAGAATCATCAAGACCATGAATGTCACGGAAAGCATCTCTCAAAGAGGCTCCGATTCGAGCAACGTCCCAATCATTAGCCAAGGATAGACTGGAAAGGGCGTCGGCTCTGTTGAATGGACCATTAATACCACGAGGACCGTCTGGATTGTCAGAAGCTCGTACTCACGATTGATTCGAATGTTACCTAGGTTCAGTGAGAGGTTCATTAAGGACTCTTGAAGCAACTCCCAGCTGGGGACGGTGTGCTACGACTTTATTCGTCATGCATGTTACCGATCAGCGAGCGCATTGCCTACCTTCTTTGATCAGGGATGAAGGAGAAGATGAACAACAGGTCCAATGACTCTGGGAACTCATAGAATAACACGATGTTTATTAGATATCTATATCTCTAAACACGGCCAATCGACACCTTGCCTCTTTAGGACTAGCGGCTCTGTGGTGTACGAACGAGTTAATTGACAATTGAATCTCCATCAAACGGTGCCGCGCAGTTTCGCGACACAGTGTTTGAACTTTCTGCGACAATACACCCAGCCATCATTGTTCGAATCCAGTCTTTACAATCTCCTTTGGGACTTCCGGCGTTGATAGGAATACGATTGCCGCGCGTGGCACTTTTGAATTCCCTTGACAGGTCTCCGTAGTCGAGCCAACGGAGGAGGTTTGGTTGCGATCAATCAACATCTTTCGCAACAATGCCCGACACTGAGAAATCCCCGGCGGATCTGAAGCACGAGACTTCGGAAACTCCTGCTATGGCGACAGAGGGCACGACAGCGACACAAGAGCCAGAGGCGGCCACGCAAGGTATGCACGCGTCGAAAATGACAGCAAATTCCACGGCAGTGCCGTTGTCGCTCAAAATCATCGATGCTAACAATCTGCGAGCAGATACGACCGCTGCGACGGAAACCGGAGACGCCACGGTCGGTAATCCTACGGATGCGCCAAAACCATCGGCCGCTCAAGATGAGACGACTGGAGAGGTTGAAGATGCTGAAATGGGTGGTGTAGACGACGATGCAAAAGGTGAAGACAACGCGGACACGGAGATGAAGAGATCGGCGATCTAGGGAAGACTTGCTGACGATGGTGCAGATGGACAATCTGAGCAGACCAAATCAGCAATCGAAGCCGCGGCGAGCTCTCATCTGGTTGCGCAGACGCATCAGATCATTCTCCCAAGCTACAGCACATGGTTCGACATGACGACGATACACCAGCTCGAGAAGAAATCCCTACCAGAGTTCTTCAACAGCCGGAATCGCAGCAAAACCCCCGCCGTGTACAAGGACTATCGTGATTTCATGATCAATTCGTACAGATTGAACCCCATCGAATACTTGACTGTAACCGCGTGTCGGAGGAACTTGGCCGGCGATGTTTGTGCGATCATGCGCGTGCACGCCTTTTTGGAACAATGGGGTCTCATCAATTACCAGGTATGGGTTGCGAGTACGGGGGTTCTTTGCTCCAGGTTTACTGACATGAACAAAACAGGTCGATCCCCAAACTCGACCCGCCAATATCGGGCCTCCTTTCACTGGACACTTCAAGGTCACAGCAGACACTCCCCGCGGACTCCAACCTTTCCAGCCTGGTTCAAAGACGGCGACGACCCCTGGGAAGCCTCATCCTTCGACCGACCGTGCTAAATCTGCGACTCCCGCGTCCAAGGCCGATCTGAATATGGAAGTCCGGAGAAATGTCTACGACAGCAAAGGCAAAGAGGTCAAAGCAAGCGAAGAACCAGAAAACCAGGCAAATGGAGAGGAAAAGTCGGCCAATGGCGAAACGACGGCGATGGTTTCGGCTGCAAAATCAAACAGAAAAACGTTCAACTGCTACGCCTGTGGCGTTGATTGTACACGCTCTCGCTTCCATTACGCCAAGTCAGACACGGTATCAAATGCCACCGGAGACAACAAGTACGATCTATGTCCAAACTGTTATTTCCAATGCCGCATGCCCAGCAACCACAGATCGTCGGATTTCGTGAAGATGGACGAACCCGAATACTCACACATCCCAGACAAGGATGCCCCTTGGACAGATGCAGAAACTCTGTTGCTGTTGGAGGCAATGGAAACGTTCGACGACAACTGGGTGGCAATCTCAAAACACGTGGGGACGAGGACGAGGGAAGAGTGCGTGCTCAAATTCTTGCAGCTAGACATTCAAGATCCATACCTCGAGGACGGTCCTCTGAAAGGCAACGGCTTCATGAAGGCACTGTCTGGAAGAAGTCCACTTAGCCAGACGGACAACCCAGTCATGTCGGTCATGGCTTTCCTGACTCAGATGGCAGATCCAAAGGTTGTCGCTGCAGCTGCAGGTCGATCGATCGAGGTCATGCAGAAAGAGATGCGAGCACAGCTTGAGAAGGGAATGGGTGGTGCCGCCGAACCAGATTCCGACAAGGGCAAAGAAAAAGTCAAGGCTGAGGATACGATGGAGGTGGATGAGTCGTCAGCTGCTGTGGAAAAGACCACCTCGGACGATTCTGGTGCTGCGGCCGCAGCTGTCGTGACCGACCTCGCGACTGTAGGCACGGCCACGGCGGCGGCGCGAGCGAGCGGACTTGCGTCTTACGAGGAGCGCGAACTGACTCGCATGATCGGTGCCGGTGTCAACCTCACATTACAAAAACTCGAGATGAAGTTGTCCCAGTTTTCGGAAATGGAAGAAACAGTGCAGACGGAGCGCAAAGATCTGGAAAAGAGTCGACAACAATTATTCTTGGATCGGCTCGCTTTCAAGAGGAGAATCGTCGACATGGAGAATGCATTCCGACAAGCCAGCCTGAAGAATCCAGAGGAAGGAATGAGGATGATGAGGGATGCAGTCAACAGCAATGCGAACCAGCGATTTGGATTCCAGGATGGATCGACGAGTGAGACCAACGGACAACAGCCATCGCCAACTGCCAAGACTGATGATAAGAAGACTATCGAGCTCTAGTGAAGCCCTGGCAGTCGATTCTTTTCGGCTCGAGTTGAAAGTTTTGTCAGTATGCTATGTACTCTACGCCTGGAGCTCTCCCCCTCCCGGATCGGCGTTATATCTCTTTTTTGAGGTGTGGGAAAAATGATATCGCACAGAAAGGTCCTCGATCGAAACGACGTGGACGTGTGTTGTGCGTGTGTAACGTATTCGGGAAGCAGGATGGTACGGGGGTGGTGGGCTTTTTCTTTTATTTTATGTTTGAGAAATGTCGACCTTTGTCGTTTGTGTGTCTTTTTATGAAGAAAGGGAAAGGCATTCCGTGTCATTTATGCTATACTCTTGCCCAGGTCATGCTGTGCTGTGCTATGCCACCCTTGAAGGAGTGTGTGTTTGTTCAAGGCACCGCTGGACGTTTGTGTGTCGCAATCGTGCCGTGCCTTTTGTGTTAAACACCATAAAAAAGATCATCTTCAGTCTTTTGCCTTGGTTCATTGAGCCCTTGGAGGTTATGTAGGGATTCCGATTCCCACTTAGCTGTCTACGTCCCTACACCACCCTCAGCAGTTGAATATTGATATGTATATATACCTCAGGTGTATGTCTCGAGCAATCGTGTCTCGTCACTCTTCCCACTGACTAATATCCACCTCACAGTCTTACCTCCCCCTTGGCTAGCACGTACTTGTTGAGTCTTGCTCTTCTTTTTCACACAATTTTCCAACTTAAAAAGGCCTCGGCGATCTGGAATCTCACCTTTGCACGCGCTTCAGCCTACGGGTTCAGAAATACAGCTACTGGCAAGACAAGATGTCGAAAGACTGTCCGCCAGCGGCTCTTTGGGACTTCAGGGACCGACTATCCGATACCCACCATCAAGCTTTTGAGAAAAGGCCAATCAAGCAGGTCATCCATCAGCATAAACCGCCGCTCTTCTGTCTACGAAAGGGCTCTGGCGAATACGATGCGGTCAATGTAGGGCCAGAAATGCAGCAAGCAGCAGAACATCATCCCAATATACCCCGTTGCGGTCCTGGTGTTTTGCAAGGAGCACATGCCAGATTTTGCCTTGACCTTTATAGTCTCGGGTTCATCCTTTACATGGGGACACAGATCAATATTATTTACATCCCTTCCGCTCCAGGTGTCCTTGGTGGAACTCTGGTCAGATCCATCTATGGAATGGAACAGCTTCCGTGCAAGTTCAAGTGGAACAACCCTTTCTCTCGATCCCGGCTCTCTGCCGCGGCGGCTAGGGGACAGTCTTCCCTCCGTGGCGTGGCTGGCGAGCCCAGCGAAGAACAGAGAAAGACACCTCGGGCGCATCGGCAAGCCTATCCCCAGTTTGGAAGACTTTTGACAGCTTCATGTTCTCAGATTACCGGTAAGGGAGGACCCTTCGGTCATTCAGCTTCTCCGCAACATCCATCACGACTGCGAGTAGGACGGTCCCAGGTTCAACACCGGGGGTCGTAATTCACCACTGTATTGCGGAGCACGAATCTAGTGGTTTGCGCCAAAGGACCCACGAGGCTGAAGCCAATATCGACGTCACGTGAGCCATTGTTCAGCCTCGTCGCGAACGCGTCTCCTTTTTCCATCAAAGATCGATAACACTGCAGAAGGGCCACACCAGGCTGACCTGCTCATACAGTCACAATGACATTCACATTCATGACGAATGCTCATGAAGGACTTGCTAAGATGCCCATCAACTGAAACGGCCTTCGGAAAGAACCTCACGTTGGTCGATAGATGGGGAAAGTATTCCTTTGTACGGACTACCTGTGTGTACGGCCCAGACTCAATGAAGGAACATTCACGGCTCTTGTTGAAGGAACATCTCATGTGTCTTGCCTGCACCACGAGGTGGTGACAATGAGTATATGTTGGTCACTGTTTCCCCCCATCAAGCACATCTGTTGAGAGTAAAGCAATGGGTCGTGTTGGGTTTTCTGCAGTAAGGACATACATCCCTGAGGGTTCCCCCCGGCTTGTGCAGTCCGATACTAGTAATCTCACAAAGAGGAAGCAGTGAGCAGAGGAAGGTGGCGTGTTACAATTCAATCTGGGTAGGAACGAGAATGCCTCCTGTCAATGAGGTCGATCTCATCTTCCCGGCGAGCCTTTCCAACTCCCTACTCACCGAATTGTTCGTGTAATCCAGAGCTCAGAGCGACTCAGTTGAGTGCCATGGTCATCACTTTTGGCTCAAGTTCACTTTCATTCACCAGGCAAATTATATACCCCGCAGGCTGCGGTCATTCACTTGCATCCATGTCTCTCCCATATAAAAGACCGTCATCCCCCCCTCCTGCGTACATTCCTCCTTTCCCATCACCATCTCGATCGAACACAAAACTTTCCATCTCTCGTTCCAAAGCCAGAATGTTGGCACTCGCATTCTTCACCTTCTTCCTCGTCGCGTTCGGCGTCCCTCTCAATGGCGGTGATTCCAGCGGCGTGATGGCCCGTGATCAATCCGCGGAGAGCAAGTTCCAGGGAATCGACTGGTCCAAGGCCGTCAACGACTGCAATTCGAGCCAGCTCGCCATCCTCGAGCGAGCCAGCTGGGTTGCGGTGACTGAGATGTTGAATCCCAGTAACGTCGGTTCGGTCGGTGGTGACAACGACTTCATCTTCGGTTGGTTCTTTGGTCAGCCTAAACGCTGGAAGACTGTAAGAAAAGGGACACACGTCCACATCCCAACCGATCTGTCATGGCTAACTGTTTGTGTGTGTCGACACAGAAGTACAACTCGGGCGTCTTCAATCGTATCAAGAACAATCTCAAGTATCCTTACAACTTCGTCTGGAAGGGTCAACAACCAAACAGCAACCAGGATGTCACCCAACGCCTCTTCTACACCTGTAGTGAGAGCTCCACCACCCCTACATGCCAACCGGGCACCAACGCCTACGTTGCCAACCCCGCTCAGAGCAAGGACGGTCAGTGGGCCGTCACCTTCTGTCCCGACTATTGGACCCAGCTGGAATACGCAGACAGACTGTGGGATAAAAAGATGGCACCACGCGTGTCACCCAGTCAATTGAACATCAGAAGAACCTACGAGGATGAACTCATCTGCCAGTACATGCAGGTTGACATCATGGGTTTCCACAACTACTCTGATCCTTCTGACCCCAACCCTCACATCGGTCAAGAGTGGGACACCTTGTACGGAACATACCAGCCCATCCAAGGAGCGATGTTGGCCAACAACTTTGCCTACTTGGACCCTGGAACTGTCAACAACAAGACCGCCACCAACCTTGACAGCTACTCTCTGTTCTTCCTCGCCAAATGGGTCAACAAAAAATATGGTGGAGTGTGGAACAATGCTCAGAGTAATTACTGGGACGCTCCTGATCCAGATGGAGTTGGTGGTTCACCACCATGAAGAGAAGGTCAAAGATTGATGATGGCGTGCAATTACAATTTTGCTGCGTGGTCCGAGACATTCTCATCGTCCGGATCAGCATGGCGTTGTCATCAACCAGCGATCCTCCAGCATGAACAAGACACAAAAGGTGTCTTTGATTAATTCAGTCATTGTGTCATCTGCATGCGATCAAAAACCTCGATGATTCGAGGAGGAGTGTGAAGCAAACAAAATTGGGGAGAAAAGGAACGAAAACAATGGGATTGATAGATTTACTTCTGGCATGTGTTGCCTTCGTCAAGCATCATCACCATTAGACATGGGACAGAGGTCGAGGAGATACAGATCGATTAGGTCATATCCTCTCCACCTCATTTAGTTAGTCTTGTTACAATGGCAAAATGAGACTTGATCTGACCATTTCTATCCCTGTCAACAAAAATCCATAACAGCACCCACAAGGTGATATCAAAGCTTGCCGACAATCCTAAACGCTGAAACGTTGAACGGTGAAGGCTTAAGACCCATCAAGGACCCCCCCCCCCCCCCCGAGTCGTCACCGCAATACCTGTATAAATCACATCCCTACACGTGTTTGATCCGGTGAACTTTTTTCCTCAACAAAGTACGCCTTGATGGCCACTATGGAAGACTCAACCACGTCGAACCGCCACTTTGGCCCAATGGTTCGGAGGGGGGGGGGCCTTTATTCTTGGAAACCAGCTTGGTGGATCTAAACTGGGAGTCGGCGGGTTTCCATGGTCACTGGATAAACATCCCTTGACCAAGGTACGAGGGGTCCATGGCAGTGACCATGGTCGGAATAAGTAAAAGAGAAGCGCCAGGTCCGGGCTTCGACTCTCCAAACTTTTTTGTCTTTATTTTTGGGCAGATTTTCCCATCGACCATTTTGGGCCCCGGCGAGGACAAGTGAAGATGGTGGCGGTGAAGGTCGCCGCAAGTGCTGGTAGTGGCCTTGTGCCAAGCTCAAGGATAGTACTCCGTACTATGCAGTCAGACGTCAAAGGCACTGGAAAGCTGAACCTCGCTGATAAGTTTGAAGGTATGAATCGATTGTGACGAAGAATACGGAGAATACCTCTACAGATATCGCGCTCATGGTCTCATTGATCCCCAAACCCCGACTCCATGCACAAGACACCCGAGAACGGGACCGAGTCTTGTATCTGTCGTCATTTTGTCTCTCTGAATCGTAACATCATTGTTATCATTGCCCTGAACTTTTGCACCTGTAACGCTCAATCTTTCTAAAAGAAGAAATAAAAGGTCGACCACGCCCGAAATACATGGCTTTGTTTTTTGCTTTTTATGTTTCATTCCTCATCGCTTGCTGCTCTCAGATCTTCGCGTCCTGTTTCGCCTGTCTCGGCATCAACAAAGTGTTCAGCAGAGGTGGCGACGCTGGGTTTGCGACTCGAGATTGGGGATCCGTATCGATCATCTAGGGCTCTCATGAGGGCGCTAGCGGTCTCGATGGCATCGTCATCATCGTCGTCGTGAACAGCGAGAGAATGGTCCTTCATACCGTCTATATTTTGTCCGGCTCCCCTCAGTTTCATCCTATCTTCGTGCGACATACTCTGCCATTCCGAAGACATGGTGATGACACTAGCTTTCTTCCCATGTAGAATGAAACTGCCGGTGCCGCGCTTCAGCTCTCCACTTTCACTCGCGAGCGAGAGAGTCCCATCTTCAGTAGGCGCAAGACTGGAACCGGAATCTCTGGCCTTCTTATGACGATGTATGCTTGGAGAATGGTGGTGGTGTACCCCTTCCCTAAGGTGACCTTCACGCAGACTCCGATGGAGACTGCGACGGACGCTAGAGTTCTTAGCCCCTTCAGCCGGTGCAGCAATTGCGCCCACTCGGTCGCGCTCAGACTCGCTCGTGTCGGGTCGTTTGTGTTTCGGCACTCCTCCTTCAACTCCGATCAATCCTGCGTCTCTGAGGACCTGCTCTTCCGTCTCCTCGGAATGCTTTACCAGTTGTTCTTTCTCACGGCTTTGACGAGAACTAGCAATGGAGAGTTGGTGAACTAGGGATTTCGAGTCATGATCACTTTCAGACTTTGTCAATGGAAGATCTGTGGAAGATGGATTAACGCTTCCCTCATTAGTCAGGTCGATCGTGCTCGGTGCCGTGTGAATGCTTCCATTTTCCGAATTCTTAATCCGATCGGCCAGGTTTGACGGCCGAGAGGAGGTCGCACTGATGGGAGACAGCGTTAAATGACTGGTCTCGGTAGTGCTTCGTCCGAGGTGGGGCAGGCCCGTCTTTACAGGTGTCGCCTTTTGTGGTGTCATCGTGGATGGAGTCCTCGGAGCAGGAAATGCTGTCACTCCCTCGTGCTCGAGGTCTCTCCACAGGGTATCTCGGTGTGTCTTCGTACGCCACAGCTCGACGCGGGTCCACTTTAACTTTGCAGACATACGGCCAGCAGCAAGAACAAGCTGTTCGCGAGTCTTTTGCTGAATGGGCAGGAGGATCAACAGATGCCGAGCATTTCTCAAAAGATTGTCCAGTTCCTTCTGTGCCACGGCCAGCCTCTCGTCAAAGTCGCTAATCTTCTCATTGATAAGTTGTCGCCGATAAAACATGATTTCCCACGCAGCTGCTTGGGCATCTAGCTTCCTGTCCTTCTGAGGAGTCTCGGCACTCTTAGACGTAATGTCCGAGTCATTGCGAAGAAGATGTCGTCCCTCGTAATTGGTAGTCACTGGCCCACGCATCCTCACGCCAGCCGTACGAAATGTGGCGGCGTAGTTCAATTTACCAATCCAATCGTGCATCTCCGACTCGCTGTTGGCGAGGAAGATCTCTTCGAATCCGCCGTGCTTGATGAAGGTGAAAGCATTCTTGTGTCTCTTATAACCGGAATCTATCAATGCCACGGCATCATCCATTGACATCAAAGCGTCGGGCTCGAAGGAAGATAGAGGCGGTTTGAAAACGAGTGGGCCAGGTTTGGACGCAGACTTTGCGTGGGCATCGTACTGACCCATCAGCTTCTTGACCCAACCAATGTCTTTGAAGAAGTAAAGCTTGGAATCGGTCAATATTGCGCCCCATTCCTGCCATGGCCGCTTGGCTTTTTTCTTTTTGACATCTTTGCGCCATAGAAGCCCAACCTTGGCGACTTTGAAACTGACAAGTCCGACCTGAGCATCAACAGGGTTGCTAATTGTAGCTTGTGAGAGGAAAGCATCAGGCCTTGATCTTGCTGAAACAATCTGCAACACCGCCGAATTGACGAATGCTTTGTGGATGTCGTTGTGCTCTGGGCCTCCGCTTGTGCGAGTCGAGCTGTAACAATCCTCAGTGTCCATGACTTCCTTCAGTGGTGGCCGTAATGAATCCAGCTTATTGTCAAGAATCAGAGTGTACGGATCGACAGGACCCCTGAGGCTTTCCGTGCTTTTCGTTTTGATCAATGTCTTCTTGAACTTTGGACCCGCGGCCAGGCGATGGGTGTTGATCGCAACTTCGTCCTCGAAATGGATAAAGGGAGTGTAGCAAACATTGTCGTAAAAACAATCCAAGATGTCGCTCGAGATTTGTACAGGGCCCTGCTGAGTATTCTTTACATAATCGTGCTTTTGCATTTTCCGCTTGTTGTTCTTGTTGTGGGTATCGGAGTGAAGAAGGAGGATCGAAAAAGCAACGAAAGCGGCTTCATCAGTCGAAACGAAAATGCCAGGATTGCATTCATAGTACCTATCCGCAAAGCCTGCCAGGAGCCGGTCGATTTGCTGGGTTTCTTTCGGGAGTTCCACCTCCATCAACATCTTTCTTATAGCCATGTCGATTGACTCGCCGAAATACGAAAATCCACGCATGTACTTACGCAGACAGGTCTTAGAAAACTCATCGGCGGCTTTGCAGAGGGCCGTTGCCATCGCCCCTCTTGGAACAGCGGCTTCGAGCTTTTCCAGATAACTCGCAGGGGTATCGCCATCCTCTCGTTTGGGATAAACACGTTCGTGTTCCTCTCGCGCTATCTGCAACGAGTTGGATTTCGAACCTGGCGTTCCTGGGCTATTGCCCGCACCGTGTCGGACAGGCGGAGCTGAGTTTTGCCGTAGTCGATGCGGAAGATTCAAAAGATCCCCGAAACTCCTTCTGCCGCTCGTAGAAGTCGAGGTTCTGGCCGATCCAGGCTGGGCAGTGTCGAGCAACTTTTCCGCTGATCGACCTAGCGAAGTCATGGTAGAGGACCTACCTCTTCCATTCGTTCGAGGAGGACCCAAGTTGACCGAAGGAGTGGAATGGCCAGAATGCGTGGACCAAGCTGAATCTTGCCGCATGATGGTGGGCCCTGGCGAGCCGAAAGGGGCGTTGGTGAGGGCAATAGCTGAATGAGTAGGTGACTGGTTGGCGGAATTCTGTCTCGTCGATTGTGTGTCAAACCTCACAGCAGTGGTCGACTTCCTGCTAGGAGACAAGGATTTCCTCTCGCTCAGAGAATCATCACGACCAAAAGAGGTGCTCGTCCGACCCGAGTCAGAAGGTGTGAATCTTTCGGGCAAGGGGAATAAGTGGCCCTTGTTCTTTTTCCGTCTCTTCAGTTTGAAAAAGGTGGTCGTGGTAGAGATGGTATGCGTAGTTGTGGTTTTCGCGTAAACATGGTGGCTGCCAGAACTGTCGTCGGAGCGGGAAGAGTCAGACAATCGTGTCACCGGGATTGCTAGTGACGAGGAGGTCTCGTCACCGTAGGGAGGAGGTGCCATAGGGTTGCCGTCAGTCTTTCGCCGAGGTAACCGTTCGAAAGAGGTATTTTCCTGCAACATTCCGGCTCTTGAAGCGGTTGATTGGGCATTGTCCCTCTCTTCATCATCGTCTTCATGGAGGGATTCCTGCACACCATGTTTGAATGCCATGCTCTTTCGAAAGGGACTAGGGGCTCGGAACAGTTTTCTCTTGGGGCGCTTCGCGGGTTCATCGAACTCCTGCGTTGTTGGTGCCGTAGTGATGATTTGTGGCGCTACAGAGGACACGTTAGATAGATGTTTGTGGTGTTGGAAAGAAACAATATACTTACGGCTCGGATTAGTCGGTGGTGGAACGTCGTCCTCGTCCTTCCTGAACCTCGTAAATAACTGGGGGTCCGAAGCATGTCTGAAACCGAGAATCGAAAATCGCTGAGGTCTGGGCAAAGGGAGATCGTCCAGGTCACGGTTCAGCGCCTGCTCTTGCTCTGACTGATTTTTGTGCGTCAAGGTCAAGGCGGCCGGAGTGCTTACACTCTTAGGTAGGGTAGAGTGTTCTGCCGACAGGCCATCGTGTTGCTGAGGCTCTTTTCCAGTCAACATTTGATCCGGCTCATATGTGATGAATGGATTGAATGTCTCTTCATTGGACCGTGTGAATCCGAGGCTAAGCCTTTGCATCGAATCAGCACGGCCACGTCCGCCGACTGGACTTCCTTCCTGCGATGCATCTTCGATAATGCTGCTGTGTCTCCGATGGGTGGTAGCAGTCACAGGCCGCGACAATAAAGTGCGCAGAGACATGGTAGGAGGACCGTGACGGAAGAGAGGCGGTCAGGTCATGGCGGGCAAGAATATCTCATTAGCGAGGCTCTCGCTGTAAGTGAAAATGGGAGTCGATGCGGACTTTGAGGCGGGTTGATTGTGATCTCAGTCGGCAGGCCTGCTGCGTTGGTGAGACTGAGTTGGGGTAGTATGGACAGTAAGAGAGTAACCGAAGTGAACGCTTGCAGAACGATAAGTAACGAGTTGAACGGGGGTCGAAAAGAGTAAATGATAAGCCCTGGCTTGCCTTGCAGCGATGGCAGCGGAGGTTGGGTAACGACGAGTAAATGCAGGTTATAAGCCGGAGCAGGAAAAGTTGGGATACACGCGGCAGGGTAGCGTTGATTGGGGAGAAAGGAGAAGCGACAATCCTGCATAACTCTCCAAAATACCACGTGGGGGTTCAGCCGCCCTCAGGAAGTCCAGGGGAGTGCATTAGGTGCAAGGGAGCCCCCTGTCACCCGCCTCAGCAGCCCAATAGCGAGTCCTCTCGGCGCCTAAATAGCAAAGGCCCCGGGCCTCGACCTCGTCCGGCTGCTGACTTCCCGCCACTCTATTGACTTGGTCAGACTCCGTACCTTACTTGGCCTTATCGTCGATAAAGGTGGCATCTGCTCGCCCAGATAAGTAGGTACTAATGCTTCGCATACACTGCGATGATGCATAAAAGGGGACCCTCCTCGATACCTCTGTATTTGTACTGAGGTATCCGTACCTTGGTGCTTCATTGAATAAGCATCCAGAACTTGGCCTCATCCCTGCTCCTTGCTCGCCAACTAACCCACTCACGCCTAGCTTTAAGGATGCCGCGTCAAACTCCGCATCTTGGTCAGGGCATCGAAATCCGGTGGCTGGTACTATTTACGGCGCCGATGGTGATGATAGATAAGCCTTGAGCACTCATAACAAAGGAGTGTCCTGAGGTCCGAATTTATCCTGACTCGTCCTGACTCTACTGCGTATTCTGGCCCGGTTATGGATCACCATGTGTCACTTATGATCGGCTGCAGAGACTCAACTGAAACTAATTCAGCCTCATGCTAATAAGGCGCACCGACTACGTACATCCTCTTCTCTCCGACAAAAGCAGGCCCTCGAAGTGGAGAGTTCACGACGATACAATTTGCACACCGTAAGATTGCTCGTAGAGGTGATGAGATAGCAGTCTGAAGGCAGATACACGTTGTTGACAACGTTGAACCAAGTTAGCCTCCTCCAAAAATTTCAAAGCTATCCATCGGCATTACCATGGACATAGCTTGGGCTTCAGCCAAAATCGAATCAGCATCGCGGTAAAAGGTATCATGACTGCCTGTGAACAATGTCGGGACATGATCGTGTCCGAGGCTCCAGGGAGACTGGATTGAGCGTGCTTCAAGAGGGGTGTCTGGTGTCGGATACCCTGCAGAATGCAGTGGCGTGGTAGCTGCCATGTCCTTGGAGAGACTGCGCCTGATGGCCTCACGAGGTAGAGAGCCGGCGACGCTGCAAGGGCAGATCCCAGCAGTCGCTGCAACAATGTGGTCGACGTCGAAGAGAACAGTGTGCGAGAGCTGCTGAATTAGCATCTGCCGGCAGTTGGTGTTAGCGGAATAACGGTAACCACACAAAGAGGAGTCTGCCACGACGTTTCGGACAAGCATGTCAAGTTACCTTTATTATAAGCAGGCACTTCACTGCGCCGTTGTTGACGCAACGCATTGCAGCCAGTAGCATGATACCTCGCTCACCCTTCTTCCACGCGTTGCTGGGTCTAGAAGTGCCAGGGTGAGTAGCAATGAGAAACAGCAGACATGACACTGCAAGAAAAAGTGTGTAAATGCTGTTCCATGAAGCAGGGCATAGGAGACCTCGTTGGTACATGACATCTGTCCGACTGATGGTTATGCCTGCTATTTTCATACAAGCCAAGGCGTGCTCAGATTGTATCTTCGTTGTAGGCAAGCCTTGTGCCATCGGGATGAGATAGTGCAAGAAGGGCTGATACAGTGCCATCTGGCCAAGATAGAAAGTCATTTCGAGTTCAAACTTCATGCTATCTCGAGGTCAGCCGGGCCCAGGGTCAAGTAACGGGCAGATTTACCGGGCAGAAGTCTCAGGGTCTTCTGGAAACGCCGGCAAACCGGAGAGCCCATTCGTCCACAAACGATATTTCTGTTCAATGTCTTTCAATATCTTGACATCCACGCTCGTAAATTCTGACTCATCAGTGGTCTTTTCAGACTGCCTGTGGCATTTGTAGAACAAGTCATGCACTCCTGTAGAAGCCAATATCAGGAGCTCAAGGTGCTTTGCTGACGCTGAGAACTGAGCTCGACTCTCGGCAGTAATGTCAAAAGGATAGAGTAATTTTCCGGTCGTGCTCGGCTGAAGTTTGTTCATGATCTCTGAGTCGATGTGATCCAGGTTGATAAATCCCGGAATGTCCAACACCAAGCTCACGTAGAGGTCAAGTTGGAGTAGACTGAGAAAGACCCTCGTCCGGGTATCTCTCTGAGCTGCGGACAACGGTACACCTTCCTCGACCTTCTTGTGCAGACCTAGTCTCGTAGCTGCGGAGCTGGCCACGCCAAGATATGTGTGAGCAGCTGTTATCCGTGAAGTCGAGATCAAGAATATCGTCAGGCAAAGTAGGGCCTGCAGCGATATGAGGTCTGCACAATGACTAATATCGAGCCCCCTCCGAGCAAGCAGAAAATGTTTCGTCCTGTCGGCACCGGTCAGCAAGATTTGAGTGCTATAGTCGGAACGTCACTTACGCTTCAGACGTCGCATATTCGCAACCATCCTGCCTGCGAGAATGTACGTCATAAAGAAGTCCTAGACTCATTACAGCATGAAACAGTGGCATAAAGGTTTGGCCTGATGCACTGAATTGAACTGCCGACTCGTTGTAGAACCGGTAGACCATGTCACGAAAATTGGCCTCATGAAGAAACTGTACCAAGACCGAATATCTCATGAACACCACACCCAGGAGGTCCAATGCCGTTGACTGGCTCGGCAGAGTCCTCGACTCGGCAGGTGTGTATGACTCTATGTCTGGAATGGGAGCTTCGTACAAATCAGAGATGACCTGGCGGCTGCCGTCTGGATGGGGATTATCGTCTGCTACCTTTCGAAAGAGCTCAAGTGTGCGTAAGACGAAGGAGCATCCGGAATAAGGGCCATAGAAGCTCGTCTGCCATGGCCCGGTCGCGAAACTTCTTCCTGAGTGGCCCATCATGCTGTTCAGTCGCAGTGCCTTATCTGCCACCTCATCGGAGCTCGACTCATCGTCTGATGGTGGCGCCACAGAGAGATCAACTGTCTTGAGAATCTTGTCCACATCGAATGCCTGTCCTGGCGAATTCTGGGACTTGAGAATCTCCAACGATGCCTTGACACTACGCAGCCGTGTTTCCAAAACTCGAATGCGCTCGGTTGGTGTTTGTCGCGGCTTTCTTCCCGACTCATAAGAGCAAGCTTGTCCGCGAAACGTGTCAGTATGGTCAAAACCTTCGTGAAAAGTGTTCTTGTTCTCTCGGCAAAAGGGCGTGACTTACTGCTGTGGGACACGGTGCAAGGCTTGCAAGGCTTAGAGCCATCGCATTTGATCTTTCTCAGTCTGCATTCATCACATGCACGGGGGGCTCTTCTATGGTAACCCTTGCGATACCTGAGAGTCTCTTTCGGCTTTGAGACCCCTTCATCAGTCATCACGAAAGTCACTGTGGTGCATTAGGGATATGATCGAATGTGAGGGGGGCGAATCAATCGAGAAGTTCGGCAGGACGGGATCTTCATAGCTGAGGCTAAACCTTGGCGGATCTGTAGCACGTGACGCCTATCTCTCCCGGTAGTTACGGCGTTACGGACAAACTTATCGAAGCGTAGAATAAATAACTCGATGACTTCTTGGTCAACAGCGCTGAAATTGAAAATTAACTGTCACTGGGCTTTGCCTACACCACTTGGTCCGACATCCATAGGAAGATGCCCTATCTCTTCATGAGCGATTAGCCATCCCCTTAAAAATTCGAGCTTCATGTCCCGCGCCTTCCCTGTTATGTTCTCTTCTGTTCTGGTGTCCCCAATATCACAGTGACAAAACAAGCATTACTATGTACACAGCTCGATTGATTTGGATTAAGGTGATGCTTTAGGCGGCCTCGGGGATCCCAACGGTGACACGAAAGCTGGGCTGTCATTTCCTGATCTTGAGGTGACAGCGGACAAGACGGGAGATCTTGATTCCTCAGGTGTTGCTTTATGGCCCGGAGTCGTCGGTGGAGAGGACGGCGTTGCCTCTGTTGGGGTATTTTCGCCTGAGAAGGCCGGATGATGCTCATTCATCCACATGCTCCCTGGAAGTTCCTGGGGAATGAGAGGCCTCGGCTTGAGCTTAGCCTTCTCCTGATCATAAGCTGGTGGTGATGAAGATGATACGGGAAGACTTCCCCAATGTGAGAGTGCATCCGCTGTACCTGGCTGGGCTTCTGGGCTATCTAGTTCGTGCGTTGTTGGTGCTCTAGACATCTGCAGTGTAGGTTCTTCTGGCGGGTACGTGGTCGTTCGGGCTGCAGCTGCCTTTCGAGCCTTGTTTCGGCGCGCCCGTCGAACACAATACCAAATACCGAAGAGACAGGAGACGAAAAGACATGCGTTGACACTGATACCAACAATAGCGCCAGTTGGCAACTTGTGCTTTTCCGGGGCCGCCGGCACCAAATAGTACATATCGGAGAAGACGTGGTCCGTTATAACAGTCAGGCCTGACACGGTTGGTGTGGATACTGGAACAAGTGTTGAGCTTGGGTTGGAATAACACGGTGTTTGGCCTCCGATTGCTGTGTAGTATACCTGGAAACCACTATGCTTGTCAGTCAAATTTCGAATCATGCAACCCTCAGGTACTCACAGTGGACAGCAACCATTGGCTGTGGTGAAATAGTCCTGTGGACACTTGGTGATCACGGCATTGGTACCTTGGTCGTATGGACAACACTCAGGACGTTGCCCCGAGCATCCAATTTCTGGAAATTCAGTTACAGAACCACCAGACCCCGTGGCTATGGCAAAAAAGGGTACGGCGCAGCTCCCTGTCAAAAGTGGCCTGCCGCCAAAAGTCGCCGTCACTGGCTTTGTGGTCGAGGGAGGAAGCGTCTGCGTCACGATATCACCGCTGATTGTGCTGAAGCCTGGATTGACCGACGAAGAGGTCGCTGTCGACGACGACACCGAGCTGGGTGACATTGTTGGTGCTGTAGTCAGACTCATGCTCGCAAGAGCACTGCTCAACCCGGCAGGCGAGCATCCCACAAAATCTGGAGCTGTCTCGTTGACGGCAGCACATTCTTGCTTGTTGAATTGAATCGCAACTGTCACCGTTAGCATTTTCATGTCCCTCTTTGGATATGCTGTTCATGGTACGGACTGGCTTGTTCATCTGGATTGCAACTGCTGTACAGACAGCAAGATAGAGCCGTCACGTAAGTCGAACTCGAACAAAGGCACGAGATATCTATCACGGAGCAGGAGGTCTGAACAGAGGTGGAATTTGATAGGCAGTGTTGCTGTTCACGAGTCAGTCACTTGAGGCCATAGTCTTTGGGAGAGCTTACTTACGGCACAACTCGGGAGGTCCGCTACAGTCACTGCATGTACAACGCCGATAAAAAGGATTGAGCACAGCCCGGTGAGAGACTTCATGGCGACGGAGATTGGATTGGTAATCTCGAAAAGGGTCAAGAGTTATATCGTGTAGGTCGACCACATCTAGGGATTCACCTTGAGCCGCAGCGACTGCTCATTGATCCAGCGATGGCAAGATGAAAGGTGAAACATTCAGGGAGTTGATGACTTGGAGCGGATGGCCTCTTCCCATTCCGGTCGAGGTCACCAAACAAAGATGTCAAAACATACCTTGAGCGGCCATGGCAACATTCTTTGAACAATGAACTCCTGGCTGACAACCATAATGGAGCAACAATCGAGCCAAGTCTGACTGGAATGCAATGAGTCGAAAAATCCTCGTAATTCTTCCGGACTCGTCAAACTGCCCAGATGAAAGTAGACTTTGCATTTTTTTGGTGCTCTGAGATGGCCTTCTCTCCTTTTGGACAGTCGCCGTGGACGACTCACCTTGCTGAGAGTGGAAAATGTCTAGCTGGATGTCGTGCGAATTGAGAGCCCAGGCGAGTCAGCGTACGAAGTAGAGTCTCCCATCAATTGGATATCGATCCCTTAGCTCTTCGTCGCCCTCTCTCAGGATTCATGTTCAAATGACCAAGGCCACCGACGAGTTACCAGGCACCTAGTAAGTTCGCGTATATTAGCTGCGATCTAGAAAAGCGACGATGCGGGATCGAGTTAGAGGGCGACGTCATCCTGCCATAAGAAGGAATTGACATGCCTGATTTGGACAAAAATCGCGGTTTTCCTCGCCCAACATCGATTTAGTCCAGGGTATATATAGGATCAAAATTCCCCCCCCGCTGCGCATTCCTTTTTTTCCATTGCTGTTTATATTCACCTTGCATCGTGTCCGCCCAGTCGCCTCTCACCACGTCTTTCTTCCACAACGAGTAACTCACATGCCTAATGAAGGTGCCCACGATTGTTTTGATGAGCCAGCAGCGACCTAGTGCAGGGGGCTGTGTGGATTGTTATGCACATGCCCCCTCTCTCATTTTCGTGACTCTACAGTATATCATTTGGGTGGCCCAACGTGCGGCGGGGGGTTGATCCTGGAATTCGGGCGACATCACATACCTTCTCCAGTTGTCGACATCGTAATGATTAAGTCCTTTTTTTTGTTTTTGCTCACAAGTTCCTCTGAGGTTTATTTAGATGTTTCGGCCAGGGATGACTGCCGAAAGGATCGGTTGATTACGTGATACTCGTCAATGTTCTCTCACTCGTACTCTGAACATCTCTCTCTCTCTCTCTCGCCCCAGTCGACACACGTTTTGACCTACGCATGAATCTCTACCCAGCACCTGTATATGTGTGTGCCCGAGTATGCTGGTAGTTGTTAGGTACGTATTCGTACTGAAGCCTTTGTAAGTGTCCGATCGAGCACCCGAGCAAATGCTTGGCCAACGTAATTCCAACAAAATTATCCGAGTCGCGCCACAACGCGAGTACAGCCACATGCTTTCAATGGCCTGGCCCAAGTGATTCAAGAAAACCCGCATTCATGGAGCCACCACCTCCAGCAACGCTCCAACGAGTGTATGTGAGCACCAGCAAATGAGCGCATCAACGAGATATGTCTTGGTGACAGGAGCCAACAGGTATGTCCACATGCAGACATGCAAATGCCACCCCTTCCCCCCCCCCCCCTCCCAAAACGACCACCAAGATTCATGATGCATGACACACCTCTGTACACAGAACTTGCACCCTGAATACTAACATGTACGCGACAGTGGCCTAGGCCTAGGAATCTGCTGCCGCCTCATCGACGAGTTTCTGACCTCACCACACATCCGAGGCAGACTGACCATAATCTTCACGACCCGCGGCCAACTCAAAGGCGACGAAACCCTCACGACGCTCCAAAAACACCTCTCGCGCCACGCATCCTACAAGAAGTCCGACGACCGCAGCGTCACATTCCAACCGGAAAACGTCGAGTTGACTTCCCTCCTCTCCGTGCGGGCGCTCAGCCGAAAACTGCTATCCTCGAACATCACCCACCTCGACGCGATCGTCCTCAACGCAGGGATAGGAGGCTGGTCCGGGTTGAACTGGCCAGTGGCAATCTGGACCGTCCTGACGGGGATAAGACAAGCCACTACATGGCCTACGTTCAAATTAGGGTTCGTCGGTCTCGTCACCAAACCACAATTTCCTCCGCGCCCGGGGAGCCGGGAGACCAGAGAAGAGCCGGTGTTGGGGGAAGTCTTTTGTGCCAACACCTTCGGACACTACATGCTGGTCCACTGGCTGATGCCGTTGATACGAGCATGCCCCTCTGAATCCTCCGGGAAAATCATCTGGACTTCGTCCGTCGATGCCGTGGCGCACCAGTACAACCCGGACGACCACCAGGGCCTCAAGTCCGGCGCGGCGTACGAATCCACAAAGAGGTTGACCGACCTCCTCGCCCTGACGGCGACGACACCCCCCGCCAGTACGACGTCGGTCAAGGAGTACATCACGCCGTCGCCCTCGGACTCTTCCCCGACGAACAGGATGTCTCGACGATCCGAACCGACCTTCCTTCTCGCGCACCCGGGGATCTGTACGACGACGATCATCAGCCTCTACTGGATCATCCACGAGTTTTACCGCCTGGGAATCTACCTGGCGCGCTGGTGCGGATCCCCCTGGGCCAACGTGTCAAGCTACCTCGGCGCCGCCTCCGTGACGTGGCTCATCCTCGCGTCCCGAGCCGACATCGACGCGAAAGCTGTGGAAGCGAGTGGCGACGGCGGGCCATGCAAATGGGGCTCTGCGGTCGATCTGTTTGGGCGGTCGTCCGTCCGCGTCACGGACGTAGAAGGCTGGGGCATCAACGGCACGGGCAAACCGTTCAAGAATACGTGGTGGGGTGGCAGCCTGGGCAGGAAGAGTGGCGCGGTGGACGCCACGGCCGAGGATGTCGAAAGTTTCGTGTCTCAAGGCGCTGAGGCGTGGAGGAAGATGGAGGCGCTGCGGAAAGACTGGGAGGCCAGGATCGACGAGTACGAGTCGGAACACACTCAAGAGATTCACAGTAATGGGCATGCGTCGTAGGTAGCAAAATAAAAAACCTGGTGTGAGGATTCCATTCGTCCGGTACACCATTTCAAGGATACCTTTTTCGTGTCCCATGTACACAAGCACACCGGCGGTTCAAGAGTACCTGCAAGCAAGAAGAAAAGGCCATGGTGAAAATCGTCATCGCCGCTATCTTTTACACCCAATACAGCGTAAATCTCTCTGATCGAGACATTCTACATGCTGGGCTTCTAGCCGATGGCTTACCTCCTCCTCTTCCCATACCACCTTGACAGCCAAAGCAAGCGCTGGAATCTGACCGCAAGGGAAAGCGGTGTCGACTCGGGGGGCGATGGACAGACGGCACGAGACGCACAGACTATCCAAATAGAATTTACAACTTGGGTTGCTCCTCTTCCTCTTCGTCCTCGTCGTCTTCCCAACCTTTGCTCATCTCCACGGCCTTGGTCCACCGTTTGTACATCTTGTCACTGGCCGCCTGGCTCATCTTGGGCTTGAAGAAGAAGCGACCTTCGGAATTCACCTCCTTCAGTTCGTCAAAGTTCTTCCACACGCCGACCGCGAAGCCTGCCGCGATGGCGGCCCCGAGCGCCGTGGTCTCTCGCATCTTTGGCCGGTCGACGGGGATTTGGATGATGTCGGATTGGGTCTGTCGATCGTATCGTTCCGGTATTAGCTCACTGGTTCAGTCTCACCACAGAAGTACGAAAACAAGAACGTCAAGAGAGCAACGCGCACGTGTAAATGCAACGACGGTACTCACCTGCATACACAAATCCGAATTGCTCATCCCACCATCGACGGCGAGTTCCTGCAGTTTCACCCCGGCATCCTTTTCCATGGCGTCCAGGATGGCCTTCGTCTGGAAACACGTCGCCTCCAGCGTCGCCCTCGCAATGTGACCCTTTTGGGTGTAGCTGGTGAGGCCCCAGATCGTGCCCTTGACGTCGTCGTACCAGTACGGCGCAAAAAGTCCACTGAACGCCGTGACGAACACCACGCCGCCGTTGTCGTCGACGGTTTGCGCCAGCTCACCGACCTTGGGCGCCGTGGGGAAGAAGCCCAGGTTGTCGCGCAAGAACTGCACACTACTGCCTGCGACGGCGATGGATCCTTCCAGCGCGTACACAGGTTTGAGCCCCTGCGGTGAGAAGTCGTACGCGACCGTGGCCAACAGGCCGTGCGTGCTGATGACGGGCTTTTCGCCGACGTTGTACAGCAGGAAGCAGCCAGTCCCGTAGGTGTTCTTTGCACGGCCGGGGACGAACCCATTCTGACCGACGAGGGCGGCGGACTGATCACCCAGACAACCTGCGATCTTGGTCCCCTTGAGCTTGGTGCTCGCCAATTTGCCGTAGGCATCGGGACTCGACGAGGGCACAATCTTCGGCAGGTGCAGCTTCGGCGTCTTGGTGTCGAGGCCAAAGAAGGAGATGAGCTTGTCGTCGTACTCTAGCTTGTGGATGTTCATCCACATGGTGCGGCTCGCGTTGGTGGCGTCGGTGACGAAGACGTTGGCGTCCAGGCCGCCGTTGAGCTTGTACACGAGCCACGTGTCGACGGTGCCGAATGCGAGGCGACCTGCCTCGTAGGCCTGCTTGACCTTGTCGACGTGGCGGAGCATCCACAGAAGCTTCGTCGAGGACGGATACGTGGACAACGGCAAGCCGCAGAGGGGCTGTAACTGGTCTGCGCCCTTGCGGGCTTTGAGTTCGTGCACGATGCGATGCGTGCGCGTGTCGGTCCAGACTATACTGTTGTACAGAGGTTCACCGGTCTTGGTATCCCAGACGCACGTCGTCTCTCTCTGGTTGGTTATTCCCACGGCTTTCATGTCGGACAAAGAGTATCCTTTTGCCTCGAACTTTTCACAGGCCTTGTCTATACATTCGCTGGTTGAGGAAACGAGCTCGAGAGGGTCATGTTCGTGCCAGCTATGACGAAAGATTAGGACGGAATGTCTTGTAATGGAGAAGAGAGAACCGACCCAGAGTGAGGGTACATCTGCTTGAACTCGGCTTGATGTTCGGCCACAGGGTTACCAGCCTGATCGAAGATGAGGAACCGAGTACTGGTGGTGCCATTGTCAATGGCACCGACGAAGGATTTTCCTGCCTTTGCATTCTGTTAGAACGACCTAGTAGCTACGAACTTGGCAAGGTAAAAGGTATGTATAACGTACCATTGAGGTTTCAGAGGGTACTCAGGTTGATGCAGTTATGGAGGAACTATCGGGGGAAGCTGTTGGACTTCGCGAAGACGTATTGTATGGTAGGTATATCTCGTAGAAGAGACAGTGAGAAACAAAGCAGGATCATGGAGATTCAAACCTGGCATGTTGCAGAACCCGAGCAATATACAAGATCTCTCTTTACCAACCTAGGTCGGTAGGTGGGTTTGCCTGACAGTAGATCCAGCTGGAGAAAGATGTGGGATGTCCACACTGCAATCATGCATGATCCAGGGTCCTTCGTTTCTTCTTGCTCGTGCGTCTCTCCTCGTACACTCCGTTCTGCGGCGGTGCGGGGAGATGCAATGAACCATTTTCCAATGTCGCGCGCGCTATGATGCAATTGCGTTGCCTCAACCCACCAAAACTTGTACGAGTACGAGCAGCAATACCGAGCCCTCGCCTAAAACACTCGTAGCAACCCGAAATTCCCTCTTTTCTTGGTACTGCTTCTCGGTGTTTGTGTACCGAAGCACAAAGACTCCCGTTCGAAATCGCAAGCCTATACCGACAGACCTTGAAAGACCGTTTCTCAATTAGGGGTAACACGGCAGAACATACGTCCAGCCAGAACGTGGCGGAGTCCCAGAACTGTCCTACTCGTACATTGCTCGTCCTCACCACGACAAGCTGTCACTGTAAGAAGAGGTCGGCGATGTGGCTGAACGGCTCGAGACCACAGATCACACAGCACTTGAGTTAGGGCCATATATCTCAAAACAAAAGGAAGATTTCGATTTCCTGCCTGGATACGGAGTATGTACATAAAATTGGCCGATCCTGCTGTTTTCAGAATCAGTGGTTTCAAGTCGAGTCGTCGCTCCCACAGCCTGTTACGGTTTCTTTCACTCTCTATTCTTCCTCATCCTCGCCTTCCTCTTCCTCAGCACCTTCGGGCTCAGGGCCAATCTCTTCCAGCTGCTTCTTTCTGAGTTCCCTCATTCGGTCAGCGGGTCCAGGTGGTCGAGTGACCAGGTCAGCAATTTGGCCACGGCCAATCAACGACGCAACGATACTTGCACCGACGACAAAGGTCAGGACGAATCGATACGTTCCGTACCACTTGGGGGCCCAGCCATTGTGCGCGGCTCGGGCATCGTTGTAGTACAAAAAGGTGAAAGCCATGAACTGGGCAATCAGACCGACCTCAGCTGGGAGGAGCAAAGTCGGCCATGCCACGGCGGTAGCGACGATACCCATCGAGTAACGGGGGTATCCCTTGTAGCCACCAAAGCCAGCCCATTCGAGACCCCAGTGAATGGCACCGAGGAAGGAGATGATCTTCAGAATGTCAGTAATGCATTATCAGCGACTTGACCTAGTAGATAACGGCTTACCGAAGCACCATAGCCAAGCTGGATGGGCTCAATGATGTGCAACAGAGCTTCAGCGGTCTCGCCAGACAGGAAGAAGCCTTGGCCGTGCGTTGCTGCGTACTGAATATCGAACGACAAATACACGGTGGTAAGGGAAGTCGCGAGGTAAGGTAAAACACCGGCCATACCGACGTAGAGCGCTTGACGCGGGACCTCGTCCAAGCTAAATGTCTCCTTGATGGTTTTCTATTTCACATCAGCTCGACTTCATTATCAATACACTGGTGTTAACCCACAAAATCGGCGCGGATGCCCTCCATCATGTCTACGTCGTCGTCATGCTCTGCTGTCGTCTCACTAGCCACAGCCCGGGTAGAGGAAGACGCGCTGACAGCTCCTGGCGCAGGCTTCAACACTTGCTTGCCCAGGTTCTCCTCGAATTGCTTTGCTGAAGACTCCCAGCTCGCGGCCTTGTCTGCACCTTTCATTTCATATTTGACGAGGGATGTGTGGAAGGGTCGGGCGACGGTCAGGGACAAGACACGAGCGGACTTGGTAGGTCGAGCAGAAGTTCTCAAGGATGCCCTGAGAATGTGATTGTAGACATTTGCTCGTGGTGCTGGAGCTTGGAAGGAACGCGGAATCGATCGGACGGCGGTTGTGCGGAACATGGTAGCTGACATGATGGCGAGAGAAAGGTTCCTGAGGAACGTGTATAAATTCTCGAGCCGACCAGAGCCAGCTGATATGCAGCTGCAGTACCAGGTGTTGAAGGAGTGGAGAGTGATCTCGTGGTCGCTGGACTGTAGAATATTGAAAGTGAGTCGAGTCGACGAGAAGCTCAATTCCCTGCGCTAGAGCCCAAGCTCCGCAGAAGTTTATCAGGTGATGGCATGTCATTACACGGTAATATGGCGCTTTTCGGCGGGTCATCGTGGCGCATTACAAAACACTTACTCAGGATACGTTCTGGCGTCAGGTGCCAAGCCAAGCAATTGAGCTCCAACCTGCAACTGCGTCCCTCATACGACTCTACGAACTTCAACCTCAGTTGTCTTCCACGGCAAAGTCGCTCTCCACTCATCACAAGTCGCCATGTCCTTTCAACGTGTTGGCCTGCGCTTTGCGCAGCAGATGCGTGCCTTTGCCCCTCGACAGACTCTCCGGTCCAGCCTTCAACAACGATTCGCCAGCACCCATCCGAGCCCTCCAGGACAAGCGGGAAGCAAGTTGGTCGGAGCCCAAGACAATGCTTTCAACAGAGAACGAGCTGCAGTGAAGGCCCATGCTGCTGCCACGAGTGGTGAGTGTCGCTTTTGGACGGTCATTTGGGGCTTCGAGGCTAATGATTCGATGCAGATCTCTGGCGTAGACTTGCAATCTAGTATGAATCCGAGGAAGGGAAAAATCACACAAAAAGCACAAACTAACTCTGGCAGCGTCGTTACTCCTTGCCTGATCCTCGGAGCGATCAACGCCTGGAACCTGTGGAATGAACATTGGGAGCATTGGGAACACCTGCCGCCTCTGGAAGAGCGTGTCGAATACCCATATCAAAACATCCGGATGAAGAACTTCTTCTGGGGAGACGGTGACAAGGTCAGGGAATGAGAGTCTTGGGGTCAAACACACATGCTAACAATGCCGGCGTAGACCCTCTTCTGGAACGACAACGTCAACTACCACAACAAGGACAAGCAACAGTAAATGTAAAGCACGCCAAAGTTGCCAAGTTTGAGCTGGTTGGGAAGTCTGGGGCAATTCTGTACATATGGAGTCCTTCAAAGCAAGAAAGAGCGAAGTTCGTTGCGACTGAAATGGCTTGATCAATCTACCTTGTTCCTACATCATTCACGGGCATAACTGTTCGTTCCCAGACCATGACCCAGATCAGACCCGCTGAGCCCTATACTGCTTCGTTAGCTCGAGATACTGTGTGGCTGTATCATTTGCCAACACTAAATCGCCTCGCCAATGCATGATTGTGGCTTTTTTCTTTAGCATCTCCAACTGGCCCTTTAGATCCTCCACGCGTCGGAATTGCTCATATGCGTGGTCAATATTCTCGACGGCTCTGCTGGTGAACTCCTTCTGTCTCGTGGACTGCTCTTCTTCCGCCCCGGCCATGCCCATGTTCGCGTCGGCCAAGACACCAAACGACCGCGCTGCCATGTGGCAGTCCTGGAACTCGAGAATCCGCGGGATGATGGACACCAAAACGTCGGCGGCCGCGTTGAACTCGTGCAGCTCGTTGAGGATGTTCGCCAGGAGGCCGGTCGACTCCCACAATGCCGGCATGAGCCTTCCTCGGAACGCAATCTGGGATGCCCGCATGACCAGGGAGAACCCCTTCAGTGGGAAGCCGCTTTCAGCCAGGATCCTCGCCTTCAGGTTCAACAGCTGCGTCTGTATCGAAATGTCGCCGATTTCGCGGTCGGGTTTTCCTACCACGCCCTCGACCTTGTCCAGGGCCCTCGTCAGGTTGCCCTGCCGGATCAAAAGATCGATCTCGAGCAGCAACAAATTGAATGCCATCTCGGCTTCGGGCACACCCTGGCCCCTCAACCGTTCAAGCAAATGCTCGGCGGCGATGAGATCTTCCCGGTGCAACAGCCTTCTCGCCTTCAACATGCCGGCATAGACGGTGAGGTATCTCTGGTACTTGACCACCTTCAGCACCTCGGGTGGGGTACTGTTCAGCACCTCCGTGGCCTCGTCGTACCGTCCTCGGTGTACCAGCAACACCGCCATGCGACATTTGGACTTGAGGACGTCTTCTAGAGGTGCATCTTTGGCGTAGGACTGCAAAAACGCCTGCCCGGCCCACCAACTCATGTGTGTCAGGCCGGCGCGGCTGTACGCGGCGCTTCTCATGAGCATCAACGGTCCCATGGCCTTCTGATCGGCGGCCTTGACGGTGCTCAGATAACTCGCCTTGGCGATGTTCTCGAACACGACGGCGAGACTATCGCCGTACTGCAAGCCCAGCTTCGCCTCGCTCAGCAGCGACGTGCTCAGGAGGGTCCACATCTCGGCATCTCTCGCTCGTGCCTTGAGGAATGCCAACCCTTCGACCTCGTTGCCCAGGATCCCCGAGGCGGTGGCAATGTGCCTCCGCTCCCCCGGGAACGACCGGCCGAAGTGGTACACCCAACTCATGCAAAAGTTCAGGCAGGCGACGTCCTTGTTCTCTCGGGCGACGGCGATGGCCTCCTGCATGGCCGAAAGGGCTTCGGCGTAGGAACCCGAATCCGCTTGGAGGATGGCCAGGTTCAACAGGGCGTACTGATAACAACCTCGTTCTCTACTTTGCATGGCGTAATCAAAGTATCGATGTAGATTGTCCAGCGCAGATGAGAAGTTGCCGGCACGCCAGGAATCCAGAAAGATCAGATAGTGACCCAGTTTGGGAACCACCGCGCCAGACTTGCCCATCTCTTGGAGACGGGCCTTCATCCCCTTGGGAAGGCGGCTTCCTAATCGCTGCATTTCCGCGACTTGAAACTCCATGAGCTTCTCGACGTCCTGAATGCTGAAGACACCGTGATAGTGAGGCGGTTTCTCTTCTTCTTCTTCCCTCCCCTCGGCAAGACGCGCGTACATGATTCGGGCGATGGGATGAGAGGAGTCGATGTTCATTTCTGACAGGTTGGCATCCATGCCGGAGGTCGACGAGTCAAGAGGGTGTTTCTTTTCAAAGGCTTGTCGAGTTGGGAGACGGTACGAAATGAAATCTTGCCACAGAGCAATACTGTCTTGAAACTGGAGACGGATGTATTCGAGGTGGCAGCGCCGGATGAAAGCCCCTAGTGGCGAAGTTCCCAGGATGCGGCCATGGACGTTCTCCTCCGGTTCTTCAGATGATGACGGTGGTGGTGGTTGTTCGCGCCGCTCACGGTCGCGAAGAATTTGTTCTCTCGTCTTGGCCAGAAGGCATGGCAAATTCGTGATGAACGCGTCGAGACTATGCGCGCAGTTTATCGACCATAGATGTCTCAGGAGGAGGTCGTACAGTGTCCGACCCGGCCTGGCAGAGTCATGACAGGACAGCTCGGACTCAAAGACTGATACCGGCAAGAATTCGTCGGGATCTTGGGAGGCCAACGTGGTACCAGAAGAAGCCTTGTCCGCCGCCGGCAAGACATTCTTGAGTAAAAACCTCAAAACGTTTGTGGCCGCCGAAGACGGCACCACGTCGTCCTCGGTGTAGAGGTAAGCCAGTACTAGCAGGGTGATCTTTGCAGGGGTAAGAAATCGACCCATAGTGTGGTTGGTGTCATGAGAGACTTTGGGACCGGCAATTTATCCACAGATGAAGGTCGTCGTCGAGATTGTTGACTTTTACATCAGCCATCCTACTAGACATTTGCGCATTGTTTCCCGATTTGTGTTTATTTGGCGGAGCGGTGTTGATGTGTTGATGCTGTTGTGCATATTACAGAGTAATTAATATGTCGATTCGCGTGGATTGCCTGTACAGTATTCTTGACCGTGTCGGGAATCCTGATTGGTGGATTTTGTTTGCTACCGGTGACGTCCTACTTCGCTGCATTCGTTGATCTTTCAGCAGGGTTTGTGGCCGAACATATCTCAGCTGCGACATGCGTTCACAAAGATGAAGCAAGTAGTGGTCGACAGCAGAGTTGCAGAGGTCAAGAATTACAACGGAGCATAGATTTTCTTGTTCAGGTACAACACGACTAGACGATCCGACGAACAGAATCCTCTCTCGAACACCCCCGGGGATCATCACAATGTTCATCCCATCGGTAAGGCGCTGTGCGCCTAGTATATGGAAGAATACTCAAAAAGAGATGGCTAGAGCTACAAAATTTGGTGAGACAAACCTGGGGACGCTGAAAAGCAGGAGAAGACAAGAAGATTGACTGGAATGATCTCTATCGTAAAACAGCTCTCAACCTCGAAGGATTGACTCTACCTGTAACGCCGTACCCCATCTTCGACTTCGCCGACCCCGAAACCATCACGACCCTGAAGACGATGACCGACCGATCGGTGGGAGGATTTTCGACGGCCGAACTCCTCCAAAAACCTGCTGATCCCACCACCAAAACACCTGCGCATGCACTGTTCCGTGGGAACATATCTACAAAACTCCCTGCCGACAGACCCGACGTCAACCGGACGGGCTACGCGGCCTGGCGGAACCAAGACCGAGGGCGGACGTTGTTCGGCGAGCTGTTCTGGAGCGTGGACTCTTACATGTACCTGGCGCTGAGGGTCAAGAGCGACGGGAGGAAGTACTTTGTCAACATCCAGACCGACTCGATCGTCGAGTCGGACATACACCAACACCGGCTGTACACGAAATACCACAAGGGTGCGGAAGGACCGGACAGCCCCGCGCGGTGGGAGACGGTCTGGATCAAACTGCACGAGTTCGTGAGGACGAACCACGGCGTCGTCACGGAACCGCAGTCGGAAATGCTGCGGCAAAAGGTGAAAAGTTTCGGGATCGGCCTCATCGACAGACGACCGGGCCCGTTCGAGCTGGGCGTGGCGGCCTTGTGGGCCACCAACCTGAACGAGCGGGGACAGGTCGACGGGCGGACCGGTTGGGAGCACGGCGACCAGGGCAGTGCCAGGCTGAGCGAAGTGACGGCCGAGAAGTTGGCACAAAGGGAGGAAGAGAAGAGAAATCTGCCACAAGAGAAGAAGGGTTTCCGCGAGAGAGTGCCACACTTTGGCAAGGTTGGCACGCACGACACGTCGGGCCTGAGGTGATTTGAAAAGCCCAGCCGAGTATAAGGAAAAAAAGCAGAAGGACTGCTCATGGAAGGATTAATATTCATTGCGAATTGAAGACGCAAACACGTGTAATATTACACTGTCTGGGGGGCTGGCAATGGACGACCTGAACAGCACAGACTTTTAAATTATTGCAGTTCTTGGACAGCCTCCTGCAACGACTTGCCTACGAGGATCTGGAACGCTTCGAGGTATTTGGCACGAGTCGCCTCGACCACTTCCTCCGGCATGGAGACACCCTCCTTGCCTTTCAAGCCGTTCTTGGTCAACCAGTCTCGAAGGAACTGCTTGTCGAAACTGTCTTGACCTTGGCCGATCTTGTACGTGGACTTGGACCAGAATCTCGAGCTGTCCGGGGTCAGCACCTCATCTATGAGGACGACCTCGTCCGTCTCTTCGTCCAAACCAAACTCGAATTTCGTGTCCGCAATGATGATACCCTTCTCTTTGGCATAGTCTCTCGCAGTCTTGTAGATCTTGAGTGAAAGCTCTTCGATGCGCCGCGCGTACCTCTCCCCGACAATCTGCGCCGCTTGCTCGGTCGAGATGTTTTCGTCGTGTTGGCCTAGCTCGGCTTTTGTGCTTGGGGTGTAGATTGGCTCTGGGAACTCTTGCGACTCCTGTAAACCTTGGGGCATCTTCTTGCCATTCACCTCACCGGTTTTCTTGTACGAAGACCACGCCGAGCCGGTGATGTAGCCTCTGACGATGGCCTCCAGGGGAAACACCTTGAGTTTCCGCACGTGCATGCTGCGGCCCTTGAGCCGCGATACTTGGGCTTGTGGGATGGCAGAGGGTAGATCGAGAGAAAGGAAATGTGTCTTGAGGTCTGGGATTTGTTTCTGGAGGTAGCGGAACCAGTGTGCAGTCATCAACGTGAGGACGAGTCCCTTGTCTGGAATTCCCTAGAAAGCAGCGAAAAGAAAAAGTCGGTGAGCTGCTGGCAGTAGCAAGGATCAAATCAGTAAACAACAGAGAGCGCACATTTTCCATGATAACGTCGTAGGCAGATATTCTATCCGATGCCACGAAAAGCAATGATTTCGAGTCAACATTGTACAGTTCTCGCACTTTGCCCGAGGCGACGAGCGGCAGAGCGTCGCCGAGGTCGGCCTTTACAAAAGCCATCTTTGGTGTTGGTGCTGGTCGAGAGAAATCTTTTGTGAGACTTGTATAACCCAAAAAGTGATTTTAAAGTGAATCAATCCGATCGACTTTTGGCAGGCGCTAAATAAAGTTTCTTTAAACCCCCCTTTGCATATTTGGCGTCTCACGTGATAGTAAAGTAAGGCTGAATGTTCAAGCCTCGTTTGTCATCGCGGAACACACCTTTCCTTCTTACCATCCCATGTTCACGACGGTGACAAGGTCGCTGTCCTACACACATGTCACCTCTACAAAGGGAGTCCCAGCCAAATCTATCGTATACTGACACCCAGTTGTACACACGGGCATCTGCACAGCCATACACAGCTCTCTGTCGATATGGTATGTCGTATGGTTCACTATATCGAATGTTGAAGTTGCCGATACTGGCAGCGTATCTCTACAGCCATCGCGACTCTGTGTCCTCTTGTGTGAACTTGATGTGCACTGAAGGTAAACGTGTTGCGACATCAGCTACACTGCGATCCCACCCATCGTATAATGGCCCTTTCACATTGTCCTTGGAACCGCAACGTGCTCCCCTCCCAACGAGGTCTGTATGCTTGCTTGTAAAACGTGGCCGTCTCCCGACGAAACCGCAATCACTTAGAGGTCTCAACATTCACCAATACACCCCGTTTTTGCCCTTCTATTGAATGGAAACAGTGAACGTTGTCGACCGCCAAGGTTCCCCCACCCACCCCCCTCCGTTTGAGATCCAAGTCAACTCGTCTCACTTTCTTGTTTCCTTGTTCCTCACCCTCTCATCCGTTTACCTCCTGCTTCTTGTTGTTTGGCGAGTATAAAAGTGCTTCTATTCGTCTCAAAAGGTCTGTATATGCTTTCCCCTCCACCAAAGTGGCTTTCCTGGCTGATTTGCATCTGATTCCAGCCTCAAAAACTTCTGCATGGTCGCCCGCAATGTCTTCGCGACTTGCTTCCGCCTCGAAGAGCCCTCCAAAGAGGGTTACCATGCCTCCTCTGCCTCTACCCATCCCCACAGCTCTTTCAAGAGCTTCAACTCCGCCTTCTCCCTCCCCCGCCCGTGGTATGGGCTCTCTAGAGACTGAAATGGGCTTCCTATCAGTCGGCACTACCAATACACGTCCTAGTAAGTGCTTGTACTCCCTTTTCCAAGCCTTCCAAGGGCAATAATGGGGCGAGGCTGGAGGATTCAGGGTCTTTCGCCGCCATTGAGCTCCCGAAACACCTCGTTTCCGCTACTATAGTCTAGAGAATCCAAAGAAATTTGAGGTATACTGACGCCTATGCACTTCTAGGCTCGTCTGCTACCTCCCCCCTTGCTGGGGCTGGCGTCACTCCTCTTCGAGAGGATGATGTCTTTGCTTATGCTCCTCCAACCGGTCCCGCTGCCCTTCGTGGCCTTCCCGGTCATATTTCCCAACGCGTTGATGCAAGCTTCCGTGGTCCTGCTACTGCCTTTGGCAGCTTCGAACCTCGCGCAGACCGCCTCATACAAGGACCAAACGCAAGAAATGCGCAAGGAATCTTTCCTCCTGAAGCTCTCATTTTTGTCGCCAAGTAAGTAGGACGGAAATCAGCAAGAACAGTCCATCACTGACATCCCAGTAGTTTGTCAAGTCAGAAGACTGTGGAGCAACTCCAACAGTCCTGCCACGAAGTCTTTGACGAGTTCGGCACTTGCCACATCTTTGTCAAATACGACCCACGCCGTCATCCGTTTGCTTTTGTTCAGTTTGAGGTGCGCAAAAGAGGGAGAAGGTTCCCCTTTTCCCACTGAAAGTGGGCTGACAAATGCTATAGAACGTCGAAGATGCGAATCAAGCAATGACCTACACCACAGACCTTGAGCTGGATGGCCGCAAGATTCGTTTGGAGCGTGGAAAGGCCGACCGTGAGTCAACGACAGCTTAAAGAGTGTCCTCATACACCATACTAACACTAGCCACAAGGTGCTGTCATAATGTCAAAGAAGGATGGATCTGCTCTGACAGAAGCTGAAGCTCGAGGAGTGCTTGAACCGTACGGGAAAGTCGAGCTCTGTGTGCCTGCGGAAAGCAACCACCTAAACATCCGCGGGATGTACGTCAAATTCGCATTCTATCTCGACTGCCGTGATGCTCTAAAGGTAAGGATGACCACATCCCAGCGACGACAGCATACTAATCCCCAGATTCAGAACCACAACAACATGAAGAGTCCCTACACTATCGTCCTTGCTCCGGCAATGGAGCCACGCTTCAACCTTGGACCTGATGGGTTGCTTATGGTCCGTGGCTTCGCAAGTCCCCGTTCCATCATGGATGCAAGATCAATCTTTGTCGGCAACTTGCCTGAATTCGCCACTCGCCCAGAGGTTGAAGCTCTATTCCAGGAATTCGGCAGCATCATACAGACAAACATTATCAAGAAGGCTTTCAGTAAGTCGCCAGTCCAGCCTTTGGTTCCTGCCTTTCCCTTTGCCCCCATACAGACGCTGACTCTTGGACAGCCGACGGAGGAATCAACGTCTTTGCATTCGTTGAATTCGCACACCCCAACGAAGCAGATCGAGCATCTCTCGCCGAGGTAAGTTCAGTTTGGCCATCCCTTTTCCGCCTGCGGACAAGCCCACATGATCTCCCCTCAACACCTGGGTACGTACTAACTAACCCCCTACCGCAGCGTGAACTGCATGGAAACAAGCTCCGAATCGAGCCCAAAGAATACTCTTCTCGCCGAGCATCTCGGTTCAACATTGAAAAGCCCATCGTTCATCATCATGCTCCTCGCTACAACCACAACCACAACAACAACCACACGGGTCCTATGATGATGAATAGGGGTGGTGGAGGAGGAGGACCACGCGCGTACGACTACAACTACCACCACCCTTCTTCTTCGGCGGCGGCGGCGGTGGTGCGACAATTTCCAGTCTACACCAACAACACCTCGACTCCGTACCACAACCCTCCGGGAGCTCCTACCCTCTACCATGCTCAGCCCATCTTCAACCCGATGATGACGCAAGTCGAAACTCCACCTCACCACAGCTACGGGATGAACAACAACGGCCAAGGCTACGGACACGGTCACGGTCATGGACATCAGAGCAACATTGCAGCCCTGCCAGGTTCGGCGGCAGCATACCAAACCCCTCCGTCGTCGTCCAACAACTACGCCCAGCACGCCCTCCCTTTGGGTTTGTTCACTCCCACTCCTCAGGGCAACAACAACGACTACGGCGGCGGCAGCTACGCTTCTTCGCATCCGTGGGTGGTTCCCAACAACGGCGCCGCGCCGGGACATCATTACAACACCAACACCGACAACGAAGGCACCTACTGGCGCTAGGGCCGACAACTCGTCCACTCACAGGATTCGACCTGCGGGGGGGGTGTACGGTGGGTGGGCAAGTGCTTTACGTTCATCGTGGACAAGTCAAATCAGCCGAGAAGGCGTGGATGGTGGATGATGGTGCGGATTTTTTGCTTCTTCAATGCTTCATTTCACGGACGTACCAGAGAGTCAAAGTTTATTCTTAAGGTCTCCCACCACAAAGACTCGAGCTACGAGATACGAGCTACGGAAGCACATCACATTCATCTTCATCACCTCGAAAAAAAAACGAAAAAAAAAACACCTCTCTCTCTCTCTCTCTCTCTCTCTCTCTCTCTCTCAACGTACATACTCACAGAAAGAGAGACTGAGAGACTGAGTGAGTGCGAGAGAATGGGTTCGCATTAGATATGCACCTGGGCGCTGCTAATGGAGATTGATCGGGGGCTGTTAGATACAGGCACAAACAAAAAAGCTCAAATGGACATTATTCCCATGGGAGCACACACAAAAACAGACACGGACAGATCAGAGCCATGCTCTCTCTCTCTCTCATGAGACAGAGAGAGAATTTACCTTGAATCATGATTGATGAATGATAATATTCATCAACGGCCTCCTCCGGTGAGAGAGAGCGAGAGAGCGAGAGAGAGAGGCACAACGAGCAACTTGCTGCCGATGCATATCAATTGATTCATTGATCATACATTTCTCCCATTCCCTGTTGCGCTCATCACGAGAACTCGTCGAAGAGTGTACGTCTGTAGACTTGTAAATCCGTAGGCTTTGTAGATTCACATGAACAAACTACCCTGATGTCGAAAAACGATCAAACGCCGTCGGTACCCGGCACACAAATGTGCCCCAACTGAAACAAAGTATCTAGACTCGACCGTCGAAACCAAAAAAAAAGAGTGAATCCCGAGACAACTTTCATTGACCATTCCTTCATTCATCACAGGGTTTCGGAAGAGTCAAGAATCTATCGAGTCTTCAGTCTTTACTGTTGACTATCATCGTGACTGTCGGGAGAGCCAAAAAAAATTCAAGACTGAAACAGGTCATGTTCACCTACACAAGATAAAAATCCCACAAACCATTCAATTTCATCAATAGTATCTAACTAATCACGATGACTCTCCAAGGTACGTTCCCAGAAAAGACTAAAGGTACAGTCCAGTGCATCCAAGCACCCAAAAACATATCATTTCATGTCTCATACGTGGGTCATAATAGTGCATCTCACACATCTAGGCAAGATTTGGTGACGCCTAGGTCTGGATCATGGTGGGAGGGGTTTCAGGGTTTGTGTTTGAATTGGCCTGCAGGTTCTCCAGCAACTCTCCAGACATGCCGTCCAGTTCCTCCTCCTTCATACCTGTCGCAATGGCTACCAGTTTACGGTGCTTCCCAACCTTTTCACCTGTGCCAGCCTCGCCCATGAGCTTCGCGATCTCCAAAACCCAATACTTCCTCATGGCTTGTTGCTGATTGAGTTCGATGGCCCAAGGCAAGGACGCGCGCATCTCATCAGCCGATAAAGGTTGAGGGTTCGTAAACCTGAAAGCCTGCGGGTTGATTTGTTTGTCCTGTTGGAAGATCTCCTGTTGAAGTGTACCGTGCTCTTTCTGTTCGAGAAGAGATCGAATCTCACCCAAGCAGGCATCGTATTGCTGCCTTAACGCCGGAATCTTGGACGCATCTTCTGCCTTGGCCATCAGAGTAAAAGTCTCCTGGCGGATTTTGTGTCGCTGAGCTTCAAAGTCGGATAAAGCCTGCTTTGCTTCGGCAATCTCTGTATCTTTCTCATTCATTTGAGAGTCGTACATGTCTGCCAATTTGTAACTACCTTCGTCCATGAGAGGTCCAATCTTGTCGAGGACAAGGGAAGCTGCCCGTGAAATGGCATCCTTCTGACGCTTGCGTCGTGCTTGTTTGGCAGTGAAAGACTCACCCGTTCTTGGAGGGGAAGAACCAGGCTGCTGGAGGCTTTCTTTCTTCTCACGAAGGGCTCGGAGATATTCATTGGCAGTCTCCCCTTTCAAGTTGGGAAGCTCGCCGGCTTCAGGACAGTGGTTCAGGAGGAACGTCGCTACCTTGACACATCCATTTCTGATGGCACATAAGGCTGCTGTGTCGTGATTGGTGTCGACCGAGGTCAGCAAAGCATGAACATAGTTGGATCCCATCTCCTGCATCTTGTTGATCAAGACTTCGCAATAATATCGAGCACAACTCCATTTACCCCTGGACCGCGATGACTCGGCAATGTGATGGAATACAGTCGCACCATGCCAATCTCTCTCAACAATCGTACCCGAGAGAGCTTGGACAATCTTGGGAAATGTGCGCTTGTCGTAATTGTTGGTGAACAAGACGGCTCGGATCAAAGGAGTTTCTCCACCACTGGTGTTTTGAGCAGCAGGACTAGCACCTCGTGCCAACAGGTCACGGGCAATTTGCACATCACCCATGGCACAGGCCCAGTGTAGAGCGTTGTTCCCCAAGTTATCAATGGGGCGATCGACAGCGAAATTCGCAGGTGGTTCAGGAGGGAGAATGTTGGAGGAAGCAGGATCGTCCCCAGCAGTGACGAAATAATCTAGTAACTCATCGCCGTACATCGTGTGTTCCAGATCAGTAGCGCCAGCAGAGTGCTCCTCGAAGTCACGTTGTTTGCGCTTTCTCGATGCTGCAGAATTCTGAGAGAGGGCCATGAAGTCGTCGTCGGCCATGAACGAGGCAGTCTCTGGTGTCGGATCTCTACTCTCATGGTACTGAGCGCTACCCACGTCGAAGTTTTCGACCGGCTGGTAGGGTTGGGTTTGAACTGTATCTCGTCAGAATGAACAATCTGGTGGTTATTCAAATGTCTTACCGGGCTGTGCTACTGCCTTCTTTGGCGCCGCATGCTTGTTCTGTTTCGGGCGATTCGACGCAGCGGTGGTATGCTTCGGGGCAGGCGGTGGGCTTCGATCGCCAGGGACATAGTCGAAGATGGCAGAAATGCGACTCAAGGTTCCATGCTTCTCTGCCAACATGCGCCCTTCAGAGAGCGGAATCCATGTGCCCTGGTACTTTCCATATCCACCCTGAATTTTCTCATGGACACCCTTCTGCACTTCTCTTTCCAAAATTCTTGTCCTGGCAGGTTTATCGAAGCCGGCGATTTTGAGAATATGTGTGGCATTGACCCAGTCGTCGGACCGACGTCGCATGACGTGGTCGGTGCCGATTTTGAGCTCGTAGACGGGCACCTACAGGCCGAGGGTCAGTCTAATGTGGGGTGAGGACAAAGAGAGAGGTGGTTACTGACATTGCTGTAGGTAGCAGAGTAGATGTCTCTGTTGGTCGACATGGCTGGCTCTGCACAGCGAGGTGATATCAACGCGTCAAAGACTTTGATCAGTCGATAGCCGTCCTGGATTCATCGATATGTTTGCTCGTTTGAGGTCCGTGTCGGGAGGTCTAGAGATACAATTTACGCGTTGGTCGCAGCTGAATGTCAAACGACGCGTCGAGAATTCAGGAGTTGCTCTTTGCCCGCGAAATGACTAAGCCGCATTCAATCGCCAAACCGCGAGGCTGAGAAAAAGATGCAGTCACGTGAACACCTCAGCCTCGTCAGCCCGCAAGCGAGAGAGGCGGATATACTGTAGAGATGGCGCTATTCCTCTTTGGGTCATGTACCGAGAAATGTCCTTCTCGCTTTGTAATGTGCGTCATTGATTTGTCTTCATCAGGGACTTGCATGATGACTTTTCTCTCTCTACAACGCAGCGCCTTTGACAAATTGAATCGGCGACTAATGGAGTTTTGTTGCTGGCTTGCTCTTCGATTTGATACCATTCAACGTCATTGCTTCCAGTGGCTGACACAGCAGGGCAGTTCTTTTCTCAGATGAATACGCAGTATGGAGTACATACAAATATATATACTGATCATTTCAACAGCCTCAATGCTCGTACTCGTGTGTTCCATTGATCATACCTAGACTGTCACAGCACCCCGTAACACAATCTTACACAGAGACCCCGAGATATACGGACTTCGGCATCTAATCTGTAATCCATGAAAGCCTCCAGCGCCCTCCGATCTACTGCTACTCGTATCCGAGTGGCTTCCCCACTCTACAAAAGAGGCGCCTTCTCCCCGCGCTCTCTCTCTTCTTCCCATCATCCGTCCGCAACCAGATTCTTCGGTAGCAGCACTTCCCTCTCCTCCCACGCCGCCGCTGCCTCCAACAACATGACGACCGGCTCGTTCAAATACATCGACCGATCCTCGTTCGTCGACAGCGATGTCGCGTTCGTCAAGCCCTGGGCCAAGGTCGATGGACCGGGCTACTCGTTCAAATTGGCGGATTACGAACGTCCCGTCGAGAACCTCCGAGGGCAAGAGTCAAAATTCAACACCGACAACGCCGGCTTTGCGGTGTACACGTATCCCGCCCGGGAAAAGTCCTTCACGGACGACGCGGCCGTGCGAGAAGGGTACTACGCAGAGGTGGAGAAACTTCTCCGCGACAAACTGCCCGGCGTGAAGAAGGTGGTGTTGTTTGACCATACGATCCGGCGGCGGGAAAAGGCGTCTCCCCGTCAACCCGTACAGCAAGTCCACGTCGACCAGACACCCCGCGCGGCAGAGGCCAGAGTGCGCCGGCACCTACCCGCGGCCGAAGCCGAGGAGCTCCTGAAAGGCCGATACCAGATCGTCAACGTGTGGCGGCCGATCGCCAACAAGGCCTCCGACTTCCCTCTCGCCCTGATAGACTGGAGGACGACGTCTCCCGAGGATTTTGTGAAGGTCGATCTCCTCTACCCCAAGCGCCAAGCCACCAACGGCGTTCAAGACGACGATGACCGGGGCAAGGAAGTCCTCCCGGATCCCACCTCGGCCAGTTCGACCGAGGGATACGAGGTGAAGGGAGAAACGTACTCCGTCGCGCCCAACGAGAGTCACAAATATTACTACGTGAAGGACATGTCACCGGACGAGGTCTTGTTCATCAAGTGTTTCGACTCTGTCAGCCAGAATGTCGGGGGCACAAAGGGCCTGAGTGACGGAACACCTCATACTGCCTTTGTTGATCCGCAAACGAGCCCCGACGCACCTGGCCGTCAAAGTATCGAGGTTAGAGCTTTGGTGTTTTACGAATAAACCCATTGACAACTTCGCGTCTGCAACCTTTTCATTGAAAAAGACCTCGGGGGCATTTCATGACTTTCGAGACTAGCATTGTTGAAGTTTGGGCATGGTGTATATTTCAGCGATTGTTGTTTTCAAGAACAATACTTGGATTTCTTCACATTCTGGTCCAGTTGCTTCTCTGGCTTGTACTCCTTACTCGTAATTTCCACTTTTCAATTCGTGCTCGTATGGATACGAGGACACCAATTAACATTCGAGAAAGCTTGACAATTTTGGGACGAACTAAAGAGACGGACCGCGTGTGTATATTGGAATTAGCTAGATTTACACAAAAGAATGATTGACACAAGGGTCAGGCATCACGGGAATGTAACCGGAACCAGAACAAAATTATACTGCATACATAATAGCTCCTTCTTGCTGCTTACTGCTGGCGTTCCATTTCGGTTCGGACCATTGACGACCACCTCCCGAGGGTATTGACAAGGTCAAAGAAGGGTGACCCCACTCAATGGCCGATATTTTTGCCGGGGGGTTTGGGGGGTTTCAATGCTTTCGGACGACGTTCCTGTGGGACATCCGGTGGTTCTGGAGGTGTCTCGCCTTGAGACCGGACTCGTAGGGGTGTCTGTGGGGGGCGGAGGCCTCGTAGGTCCCGTAAGAGGCACACTCGTCCTTGAAGTCGCCGTCGTAGTAGCCCTTGGCGTCGATCTCGCCGGGCCTCTCGAGGAACTGGAGACCCATGCCGCCATCGGCGTGCCAGATGATGTGGCAGTGCATGATCCAGGCACCCGGGTTGTCGGTCTCGAAGCCGATCACGGTCCAGCCGGACACGAACGACTGGGGGCTGCCCGCGCCGAAGAGCAGCGTCGTGTCACGCCGGACGGGGTTCTGGAAGTTGAGTTGGCCCACCATGTCGGAGGTGAAGACCCCCTTGCCTTGGCCCAGCACGGAAAAGTCGTGGCCGTGCAAGTGCATCGGGTGGGACGTCTGGAAGTTGTTCTGGATGACAAAGTAGACCCAAGCGTTGGCGGGGCCGTCGAGGACGGCCGAGTTGCCAAAGTAGGAGCTGTTGTACCCCAGGTTGGGCAGCGTCGCGAGCGTCTTGAGGGTGGGTTCGCTGTAGGTCACGTTGATGGCCTTGTTGGCCGCCGGAGCACCGCTGTTCTCGGAGAGGTCCTTCAAGCCACCCAGGTACCATCGGACGACGGGGCCGTACTCGCCAAAGTCTTGCGACCCGGCGTTGCCACCGGGGAGGAGCTTGACGGAGTCCTGGAACTCGGACACGGAACCGGCGTTCTTGGAGTCGTGAGGGATGAGTTTGCCGAGAGGCTCGTCCAGACAGTCGGTCGCGGTGATGGTGAAGTTGTCAGCCTTTGGAGCACCGCAGGATCCTTCGTAGGTGAAGACACCGTTGGAAGTGCCGAGACCGTCGTTCAAGCTTCGGATACCACAACCTGTCTGGGTGACTGCGCGTAGGAAGTAAGCTCCTTCGGGCTATATTCGCCGTGCGTTAGTGTACCAGTAGGAACACCAGCCGAAAAAGAGTCAGTCGAGGCTTTGCTTACCTGGTCCATCTCGACGATGACGTTGTAACGTTGACCACTTTGAATGTGGAGAACGTCAGTCTCGTAGGGAACGATCGGAGTAAAGTCTGCCGATACAACCTTCATCTTGTGGTGATCAAAGTGCACAATGTAGGAGGATTGAGCAGAACTGGTGGGGACCATGTCAGCGTTCGGGACGGACTTTGTGAAGGGAAAGGGGAGCCCGTTGTGAGATCCTACCTGTTGATGATACGGAAGAGATGCTTCTTGCCCTTCTTGACGGTCCATTGGGCACTCTCACCCTTGGTTCCGTCTGGAGATTTGTTCTTGCCGTTGAGCAGGTAGTTGGTCGCCGGCGGCAGCGCTCCTCGGACACGGGCAATGTTGTAAGCCATTTGGAAGATAGTCTGGTTGAAAGCTTCATCGATCATGACAGAACCCATGTCCAGGTCGTAGTTGGCAGTGGCAGGGCCGTGGATGATGATGGGGCCTCGGCAACCGGCACCGTACTGCGAGAGAGCGTGGGAGTGGTACCAACCAGTGCCGTACGTGCTGGCATGCTAATAAGATTGTCAGTGATGAAGTCCTGAGAATCAATTCGAGGGACCATGAGCGACTCGAGCCATCACACTTACCCACTTGTAGACGCGAGCGGCGCCAGGAGCAATGCCGCACTCGGAGACACCAGGCACACCGTCCTGGTCATTGGTGCCAGTCTGTCGGATACCGTGCCAATGGATGGTGGTGGCATTGGTGGTCAAGCCGTTGACGACGGTGACTTCAACCATATCACCCCAGTTGGCCACAATGGCCTCACCTGGAGATTGACCGTTGATGGCGAAAGAGTGCTTGAGAGTGCCATCGTAGTCGAGTTGTTCTTCGGTAATGGTCAGAGTGTATTTCTTGGTCTGGCCGGTGTAGAAGGTCTTGTGGGTGTCATCGTCGACCGATTTGCCAACACACCAGTGGCTTCTGTCATCTGGACCGTTGCAGCGAGGCTCAGGCAGACCGGTGGCCGTGGACGCTGTTCCATTCTGGCACGCGGACGAGGTGGTGGTCGTCAGAGTGGCGGACGAGGAGCTGCTGCTCGTGACGCCTGATGTGTAGCTTGTCGAGCTGCTGTTTCCATAGTGTGGTGCAGAGGTCGTGCTGGCGGTGGGGACGCCAGTGGTGGACCAAGACCAAGTCCCAGAGGTGGTCGACGATCCCCAAGATCCGGACGATGTGACAATTGTCGAGCTAGGTCCCTCACCGCCGGCGGTTGTGGTGGTGGTGGTCGCAGCGCTGCCAGGAGTCGTCGTCCAATCCTCCCATGGTAGCTTGGTCGGGAGGGTATCGGCCTCGCAGGTGAAGAACTCGGTCAGAGGGCAGACGGTGATGGTTCTCGTCGTGGTGACCTCAACGATAACATCTCCCTCTTCCGGTCCGTTCGCAAACACCCCCAAAGAGTGCAGCGGCAAAAGCGCCGCCAAATATTTCAGTGATCTCATGATCAACGTAAAAGGAGCGACAAGGAAAACGAAAGGACGAAAGCAAAATGCTTTCAAAATAATATCACGACGCGATTGTGAAAATGAGCGTAGTGAGAAAAAAAACAGATGAGAGCAAGAATCGCGGTTTACCTCTCACCTTTCTACTAATATGACTGTTGGTCTTCGACCGGTCCATTTTTGGAAAATCTTCGCTTACCGCAAGCCACGGTCGCGGCCTCGAGGTGTATGATTTCAGGCCATCTCACGCAAAAGATGGACGACGCGAAACACCATCACTCCACATGGAGCTTTGCTTTGGCGAGCCCAAGGTCGGCGACTCAAAAGATTTTACGTTGGAGGAGATTGGGCGGATCTTCGAATAGGAGAAAAACAGTGTAAAGAAGTCCATTTCGAGACGGGCCAAGTTCTTGGTATTTCTTGTCAGTTTTTACCCGCCGCAGAAAAGTCTTGGGGTGGTGATCAAGACTTGGAGAGAGATTAAATACCCATGGCCAAGCTCACCAGTGCCAGGGGGGTAGTGAGACACCCGATTCGGCGCGTGTGATGGACGTGGCATAACCAAACATCGCGGACAGCCTGAACTCTTGGTACTTGTGAGAAAAGCCATTGCAGTGTACACGAGAACGGTCGGTGATGTATGTGTGTGTGTGTGTGTGTGTGTGTGTGTGTGTGTGTGTGGATGAGCTTGTATTCGAGACACCGTCATCAATCAAGATAATGTGAAAGGTTCCGAGTAGACGGGTTGAAGGGGGGCAGACCACACACTGTCATGTTTGGCTCCAGGGGGGATTTTGCCAAGGCTGAAGGACCCTTTTCGGGAAAGATCCTCTAGCTGGAAAGGGCTTAGCGTTAATCGGTAGCCTTGCCGCTTGCAAAGAAGTCACTGTCAAAGGGGGACGATCCGCTTACGATCCGCTTAGGTGAAGCCCCCGTCCAAATGTCAGGGGGCCGAGCACATCCGGCCTTGTCTTCCACGTTGTGCAGCGCGCTTTGACCGCGTCCAAAGACTCAAGCTTTCTACGGAGAAGTCCATGTCCATGGTCCTCGCCCAGTATCCCGGAGCGATACAAGACAGAGAGAAGCACATGAATCTGGCCCCGGCTGTTAGGACACTTTAAGCGATTGTTGATCTCGGTTGCTGTGAACTCATCTGCTGAGGTGTTGTCGGTACAATACATACGGATGGCTGGAGCTTGCCTGACTGAACACGTGAAGAAAGAATTATGGTTCGAAAACTCCAGGACAAGTATGGTGAATTGTGAGCTGTGTCGATCAGGAGCTTTTCTTTTGCTTGGTACGGAGTATTATCATCAACAACAACGCCCCTGTCTCAGCAACATTTATGGCCCAACTGCTCCTGCAAGGCGTAGCGAGGCATGGCAAGGCTTCAACATCGCCGACGTCCGAAGTTGTCGAAATTCAAGTCAGAAGCTTCGACGAAATAGCATGTCTCTGCAAAGTCTATCGCTGGACGATCTGCTTGAAAGTAGTGATCCTTCACATTATCATTGTAAGGCTGCCCTCTGGGCTTTCGTAGCCCGAGATTGACAGTACACAGTACTGGTCATCGACTGGCCAAATGTGATCATCCTTGGCAACACAACTATCCGTATTTACGGATGATTGTGAATCCTTCACTCCTGCTTGGGAATGAGGTTACAGCCAACATGTCATGTTCCACGTTCCATCATCTCGTAATCTCTGGAGAGGCAATACCCACAGGGCGCAGCAAGTGTCAACAACGGACTGCTGGGAGAACACCCATGACCGGAGATCTTGGTAGGTATGCCTCCGAGTCACGAAGCACAGCTCAGGCTTGAAATAATCAAGTCTCATCGCCTCGTTCTGGTGATAACCTCGGCGCCAGACAGACATGATGATGATAACCTGCGCACCGGAAGCATCGATCCTTATACTCGTGCGCCTTCTGTCATCGACATGTCAGATGCTGACCATGGTTCTGATAGGTGACAGTTTTTGCTGCCGAACTACCGATCACTATCCGCCTTTCCCCGCATTCACACCTCTGTTGGCGGCACTCACAGGTTCTCACAGCATTGTTTGACGCACTCAAGCTGACGAACGTGTTGAGATACCTGTTCGGGCTTCGGGTGCTATTACAATACCCTCTAGGCACTCGTACGTATCGTCCTCAACCCTGAGAGCAGGGCTACTACACCTCGGCCCAAGACGGCCGCTTCTGAGAACAAAGGCTTCTGATTTGCTCTGTATACAACCTCGGATTCAACCGATACGGGTAAAGCTTCAATTCAACTGCAAAGCTGTACTTTCCAGACGAGTGGAAGATATACATATATAAAGGTGATCCTTGACTCTTGACGAGAAGCTTGTATAGTCAAGCAGGTTGTCTTACCCTTTCGCTCGGTGCCATTGATTGGAACCTGCCATCTAAATTCGATCTTTGTTCCACGTGCCTGCCAATCAACCTCTGAAGAGGCATTACGACTTGGTCTGGAACCCCAATCTTCGAAATGCCATCTGTCAAGCTTCACGTTGGCATATGCGGAGGCGGCATGGGTGGACTCGCCGCTGCCATCGCTATCGCACGGGCAGGTGCCCGAGTGACATTGCTCGAGGCTGCACGAGAACTGGGCGAAATTGGTGCTGGGATACAGGTAGGTCCTTGACATTTGATAGTCTTTCCGTGGTTGTTGCTACAGCAGAAGAAGCACTGATGTTGGAGGGGTGCGGCTTTTAGGTGTTCCCAAACGTGTCTCGTCTGCTCATTCGATGGGGAGTCGACGAATTGATTGGTGACAACCTCATCGTCGTGGATGAGGCCAACACATGGGCTGCCGATGGCTCTCTGCTGGCTCGTTTCGATCCCAAGCAGGGTGCAAAACAATCTGGCTTTCCTCACTGGTTGTTCTAACTACTCGAAGGCATTGCTATGCCATGCAATATTCCGTGTGCGAGAATTGGCTGACCGATTTTCTTAGGCTCGTGCGAAGAGACCATCTACACGCCGGACTCACAGAGTCGGCGCGCCGCCACGGTGTGAACCTGGTCGTCGGTTCGCGCGTCAACAAGTTGGAACACAACAAGGAGGGAGTCAAGGCCACCACCACCCAAGGTGTCGACCACGAATTCGACCTCTTGATCGGATCCGACGGCATCAAATCCTTCGTTCGACAACAACTGTTCCCGAACGTGGTGCCCAAGGCCGCTTCGACCGTCGCGGCCTTTCGGGGTATCCTCTCGTACGAGGAGGTCTTTGCCAAAGTCCCCGACGCGCGACAGTTTCTGAGAAACACCATGGACGGCTTGATCGGACCCAATGGCTACATCTTGCTGTACCCTCTGTCGGCCGGCACGGAACTCAACGTCGTGACCCTGTTTCAGATGGACCGTGTCGTCACGACGCCCGAGGACGTCGACATCAACGAGTTTCGTGATTTGTACAAGGACTGGAACCCGACGGCCCGGAAAATTTTGGAGCTGGTCAACTACACCCAAAAATGGCCGCTCCTCGTCCTCCCGCCCATGAAAACCTGGTCAAACGAGCACAAAAATGTCGTCTTGCTCGGGGACGCGGCGCACGCGATGCAGAACCACATGGCGCAGGGAGCGGCGACGGCGATGGAGGACGGGGCGTTTTTGGGCACGGTCATCGGCGACGTGGTGCGCGGGAACATCAACTTGACCGAGGCGATCGGGTTGTACGAGAAGCAACGGATCCCACGCGTCTGGGTCAAGCAGCAGGCGTCGTTCGTCTCCGGGACCATCAACATGGCCACGGGAGAGGATGCGGCTCGAAGAAACCGCGCGTCCGCACCCGAGGTGAAAGCCTGGAGCCGCAACGTCGTGCACCCGAGTCAGGAATTGCCTCCGACGTACAAATCGTGGCAGATGTACTGTACGCCCGCGAGCGTTCCGGGCATCTTGTACTACGACGCCGAAGGGGACGCGGACAACGCGGTCTGTGAGTATCTTCAACAAAAGACGGCCGTGGACGAGGTGACGTTGGTCAGCAGAGGCCTTTGGGACAAGTGGTGGGGGGTCATTGACGACAATGGCGTGCCCTGTACATGATATGAAAGTACGAGAGTCCTCAGAGACTAGTGAGGGAGGAAGCTTGTGTGTGGGGGTAGGTAGTCATCGTCTGTGTTTTCTTCTACCTCTGGAGAGCGAGATCAGAAAACACGGATAGCGAATAATCAAAGGACAAAAATGTGCCGCCCTCCCACCCCAAGGATTCATAAACCACAATAATAATACTTGTTCATTCTTCAATTCTGATTTCCGTTCCCCATCCACGCAAGGTTAAATGATCCATCATACCTTTTGATGTCGGCTGTTGTCGTAGTGTCGTTCTTGAGGAAGCGACCAGCGATCAAGGCAGAATCAAATCGCCCCCAAATAATGAATTCTAGGAGAACCGCAGGAGAAACCGAAGCGATAAAGGTGAAGATGAAGACGAGAAGTGCCTTGATGACCACGGCGACATCGAGGGACATTTCTACTCATCCTCTTCATCATCTTCTTCTTCTTCTTCATCCTCATCAGCTTCTGCATCCTCGTCATCGTCATCGTCATCATCAACAACGGCATCCGCATCGTCATCTTCAGATGTATCGCTCTCTTCATCTTCCGGTATCACAGCGTCCGAGGTATCGTCTTGAGATTCTTCGTCATCTTCTTCGGCAACGGAAGCATCCTCTTCGGAATTTTCGTCCTCTTCATCGCCGGTACTAGAGGAATCGGCCTCGGCGTCTTGTTCGTCTTCTTCTTCGGCTTCTATGACGCCAGCTTCCTTCTTATTGTCATTCTCTTCTTCTTCCTCGTCCTCATCAGCTTCAGCATCGACATCCTCGTCGGCTTTCGCATCAACATCCTCATCAGCGTCGGCACGAGCGGGAGCAGGAACAGGAGCATGAGCACGGGCATGAGAAACCATAATAACATCCCCAATCTCACTCTCAACAGTTGTAGATTCATTTCTGGAACCCCGGGCTCTAGTGCTCCTCGTAGTCGTACTCGGCCCAGGCTGGGAGACGGAAATGGGCAAGGAAGTCGACACTTCAATCGTTTCCGAGTTCACAAGAGCGCTTCTCCTACCACTTCTTCGGATCGGGGTACTCGGTACAGACAGGTTTGCTTTGCCCTTGCCTTTGTCAAGACCCGCAACGCGGATTCTCGTCACAGTGGCTCCTCCCGCGCCCGTGTCCCCGCTGGTGGCTCCCCCACCGTTGATACTAGCCGCGGTTTGAGTGTGGCGCGGCGAACTTCGTACGGGAACGGCAGGCGTGGCCTCGGTGGTATTCGCCTTCGAATTGGCACCGGGCTGTGGTCGTCCGAATGCAGCTGTCAAATTCCGTTTCTTTGTGCTTCGTTGCCTCAACATGGCAGCCGGAATGGGAGGATCGATCTGGAACCGCGTAGGTGGGATGGCAAGCGTACGATATGCCAAAGCGTACCCCGTGAGAGGAGGCTCGGGTTCTTCGGCCTTCCGACCTTGTGCTCCTGATTTGGCCTCTTCTCCAGCTGGATCATTACCGGTATCGTCTTTGTTCTGGGATTTGGGATCAGAATCCGCGCCCGTAGGGTCCTCACTGCTCACGGCATCTCCATTTACTAGCCCCATGCTGAGGCCATTGACCTTGAGTGCCGGTTGCGTAACTTGAGTAGAAACGGTACCGTTCATGACAGTTGTGGAGGGTGGACCTGGCGCGACGGCACCATGATCATTGATGAGTGCATCGTCTTTGAATCCTGCAGATTTATCTGCGACTGAGGCAGGTCGAGATGCGACTGTTTTGGATCTTGTCCTCGACTTGGGCGATATGTGACCAGAATCAAGCGCGTCCGCTTCCGTGTCCATTTCGGTAAGGGATTTCCCAGCTTTAGAAATCGCCTCGCTGGGTCCTTTCTCATCTTCATCTCCTTCCATTTCTTCATTATCGTCACGAGGAGCAAGAGCTTGCAAATGCTGCGCATCGAGTGTAGCTTGATCGCTACGACCCATGACATATGGGGTCCATATCAAGGCCTCGGGTCGTAATCTGCGATGCTTCTTGGAGTCGAATTCATTGACTATGCGTTCGTATAGTTTCTTGTCGTATCGCACCGCATAGGTTTTGGTCACCGGGTCTCTCACGAAAGCGTACAATCTTTCCAAGGAATGAATCACATCATCTGCCGTCATGCCGGTCCTGGCCATAAGCGTCTTCGTGCTGAAAGGTTTGAGACCCAATTCAAGAAGATGACGCGACATGGTCAGATCCCAGTACGACCGGTATGCTGTCAAACCCATATCTGACAGAGGTTTCTCAGGCGAGCCCTCTTTACCTTCGATCCGAGTCAGGAGATATGAAAAGTCAATCAAGAATGTCGCATATCCTTTGCGCTGATGTATCGGCATCACCAATATACAACTAACATTGTTCTGGCTCGCCGGTCGCTTTTCCTTGCTGAAGTAACCAACGAAATGGTATCCGAACTCGTCATACTCTGTCAAGATGTAGAACAAGAATGGCTCGACGTCGTAGTAGAGAGTTTTCGAACCAAGGAACATTTTCGCCATTAGACAAAGACATTGGCAGTATTCGGTCTTCTTGCGTCCGTCCACTTCCCACACCGACAGGGTACCGTCGCGGTAAATTTCGTCCCCAGGAGGGTGTTTGGCAGAACATTTCAATTTGTGCCGATACGCGACGAATTCGGAAGGTAGGTACTTCAGGCAGAATTCACAAATGAACAACCTTGACTCATGTGAATATTCTTCGGGATATGGCGCTGCATAAAAGGTGTCAATGACAAACTTGCCAAACTGGATACACTTGATCTTGGTCGGTGGTCCTGATACGGTTCGATTAGGCTTTGTCGTGCCCTCCTTGTCCCCGTTGATCTGCGCCTCGGCTGCAGCAGATGTCTTTCGGCGTTCTTCTTCTGCTTCTTTTCTAGCGATTTCGAAGATTTCACGATCTTTGAGCTGTGGCAATGATCGTGATGTATCAGCCTCTGCTTCTGTGAGAATCCCTCCGTATGGTTTGGCGTTGAGCTCGGCTTCGCGATCTGTGAAGGCCGAAGGGAAAATGAGGTGGTGGGTCGGTAAGGCAGGAAATTTGGGCACTGGAGGTTGATAGACTGGTGGAGGTATTTTGGGAGCCTTCTTCTTTTCTCTAGCTGCTGGTTTTCTTTTTCCTGGGCGAGGAGGTTTGCTTAATATTTCTTCTATCTTCGGTTGTCCCAAGTGGAATGCGAGGATGAATTTGTGCGGTGGTGCTTTGTTGAATGGGCGATGTTGCAAGATCCGCGCAACCGGTTTGGGGGGGTTGGTGAATTTCTGGCTTGCTCTTCTCGTTGAGTGAGCAACTGCCTTTTCGGCCTCAGCTTTGCTTTCCACCGACATGGCCTCTAGTGCTCGAGGAGTGGCCTTGCGGCGTCGCTTCTCAGTTAGTGGAGGTTCCGCAGTGGGCGATTTCCTCTTTCTGAGAGCGCGTCCACCATCTTCACCATCTTGGATCAGCGGCTGAGCGAAGATCGAGTGTGAGCCAGGCTTCTGGACACCCCTAGTGACAGGTAACAAGTCTCTAACAAGTCTCGGCGCTGAATTCTTCGACCTCGCAGTTTGTTCTTTTGGAGATTCGGATGGAGCTGCTTGTTCGGCACAGTCAGGGCACTGCCACGCACCACTGCCATCATCTTCGACCTCATCTCTGTCTTGAATGCATCGCAGATGCGCATGTTTGCGACAGCCCGAGCAAGCCAGAAGTGTATCGACATCTCCAGACGCCATATCATGGGTCTTGTCACAAAACATGCATTCGTTGTCTGTATGATTTGTATCGTTTCCATCCGCAGCCTCATCGCTCTCTGACTCCGAGCTTGAGTTCTCGCCATCAGATCCGGAGGCTTTACTCTTATCCTCACTTCCTGTGTCTTCAGTGCTGTCTTCGTCGCCGCTGTTATCTTCCTGAGCGGGCTCATCGTCATCGGGCTCGGCTTCTGAATCTGTATCGGCATCTACGTCAGCCTCAGTCTCAGCTTCGGCGTCGTGGTCATCATCAACAGAGACAGCTTTGGTATCATCCTCCTCTTCCTGGTCATCGTCGTCCTCATCTGCCTCTGCATCTTCGTCATTGTCCTCGTCCTTCATCGTAGAGTCCTTTGTCTTCGCGGACGGTGCAGAAGAATCTTCAGCCTCACTGTCTTCACTTCCCTCTTCCTCAGCTGATCGCTGTAATTGTTCGCCCAAGGCACTATCCTCTGGGTTGGGTGCATGTGCAGAATCAGTATCTTGATTATCCGCCTTTTGGATGGTTTTCTTCGCGACTGATTTACGAGACTCTGCGCGCTCTTCATTCGCATCACGATCGATATCGCTCTCGCCCGATCCAATCTCCTGATCCAGGCCTGATGCGTCGCCCGGCTCCTCAGATACAAGAGGCGGCATGAGGGCGGGCTTGTACGGTGATGACTCCGCGACTCGAAGCGCCTTACTACCGCTTGTGCTGGCACTTTTCGAAGTACATCTGATATTGAGAGGCCCACTTTTGCGATTACAACGCTCAGGCGATCACAGCAATGTAACTACACCACATGTTCCGCTTCGTGTCGATTCTGTTTGTGTCGCAAAGGCGCGGTCTCGTGGGGAAGAGGCAGGTCTTTCTCTCGACGCGTGAGGCTGCGCGCAACAGGACTCGGATATTGTCCAACGTATCTTTTCTGGAAATGGATGCAAATGATACACGTCAATAAATCATCTGTGACTTGTTGCAACTGGTGTTGTCTGGTTTGAGGGCATCTCGAAGTCAATTCCTGTGCAGAGACCTACCAGTGAACGTTCAACATCACGTGACAGCCGTGGAGGGCAACTTCTCCTCGGCTTACTTGCCCACCCCATACCACTCTGTTAGTAACATAAAGCGGCGTTATCATACTCCAAAACGAGAGACCCTTGGCAGAAGTTGACTTGGACGAGCTTTAAGCTGCATAGCGATTGCTTGATCGACACCAGTACTAGAGCTCACCACGCTGCACTGTGTGTTGGATGTTGTCGAGGCAGAGATAGAGTGTGCTTCGCCCTCCGCCCGCCTACACGATCGAATTTCGAATCTCACACCATTGCAAAAAAGTCGACAGCTTGAATCTGCGCACCCAGACCTGGTAATCCGCAGTCTCCGCTAGTCACCATGGGCGTCCCTTTCGAAGCCCTCCTCCCATATGCCATCATGGTGGGCATGTTTGGTGTGACGGTACGGTAGCCCCGAGAGTCGTCGGGGGTATTGAAGAGTTTGGAGCATGGAACTAAGCAGAGTCATAGGGTGCGGGTTTGGCCTCGATCAAGTACTATAAAAACGACTACAAGCGGCCGAGATATCTGATAGACAGATGGGACAGGCAGAGTCAGTTACTTTTTCAAGGAGGGTTCACACAGAAACACTGTTGCTAACTGGTACCAAGTGATGGAGAGAGATCAACGGTTAACAGGCAAGTTCAGAGGACAATCAGATGCCGTAGAGGCACCTGTTGGATTTGAAGGTATGTGGCCTCGTGTCTGCTTTAATGATGAACCACAAATGTATACAGGCTAACGCTCCAATAGTGAACAGTAGATGGAAGGTTTGTGTCAATTCCGCACCTGATAAACCAACCCAGTCTCATGATCTCCCTTTTTCTAGGCCGAACCACGAATCACCTAATCGGACTTGCTATCATACTCAGCACAAAATGACTCGACCTTTCACATTTGTACATATCTCTCTAGTTTGATGGGTTGCAGACATAGGAGAGCGGTTTACTCCAAAGCGTGGGACATATGCGGGCACATTATAAAGGGGTCGTGTGAGGGACCGAATGAATGATATGATTTGATTCTGGATCTCAAGAGTCCTAAATTCCTGTATAATACCTGTATGCATCTTTTGACCGTGCTAGTTCTTTGTTCAAGAGTCAGAGGGCTGCTGTGCTGTATCAAGTAGTGAACGTCCAGACCAAGAGACTAGATTCGACCATTGTCTTCGCTGTATCGTTTTCTCTCGTGATGTTGGCTATAGAGACACCATTCTGTAACCCCTGGACCCCCTTGGCCCTTGTGCAAGACAAAGAAGCAATCGATTCCCATGACAGTGTTGATAGTGTCGGTAACGTACCAGCACTCCTCCGTACACAGTTGACATCCCCCAGGAATCGGAAAGGCCTCTAGGCAGGCCAGAAGGCTTAGGGCGGCGACCTGTCCATGTCTGGTAGATTCACTTAGAGATCCTCCCTCTTTGTCCTTCTTTCATCGATTCGGACAATGTTCCAGAGGGCGTACCCTGTTGTTCTGTATAGGAGCAGGTCGCAGAGAATTGCCATCCCCTTTGGACCTGCCGTCAACCCCCTTAAATCGTACACCTGTCGTCTTTCGGCCAATAGCCACCTCAGAGAAATGTCGACAGCTTCAGGCGACCTTCAGGAGAAGCTTCGCCGCCTTCATGAGTACTCTGCCTGCGATGTAAGGATTCGTGCCCATGGTATTGACCTCACCACTCATTGCACAGGTTTCCGATGCTTTGCTCAAGCTCCAAAAGCCTGCAGCCGGGCAAGTTGCAAGAGCGGGACACCTAGCAGACATAGGTAAGCTAGCATACGGCAATCCTTGTCCTCCTTGCTGATTCAATCTTACCAACAACAAAAAGGACCAGTTCCATCTCCACAGATACTCTCAGGTGAACTTACAGTGAGCAAGGTGATTGCACCTGCGTGCACGTTGAAGCTAGTGCCCAAGCACTCTTCACCAGCAGCAGCACCACCACCACCCGCCAACAGCACCATCCCCAAAGGTAGTCATTGGGTAGACCTGACAGAGGCCGGCAGTGTCGTTGTCATTGACCAGCCAGAAGGTCAAAACTGTGCTGCTGTGGGCGGCATCATGGCTCAAAGAATGAAAGCCAGGGGTGTGGCAGCGTGCGTTGTTGGTGGCCGTGTTCGAGACATGGCTGAGTTGAAGGAGTCCAAACTACCGGTATGTTGACTCGCCTCTTTCTTATGCCCTCTGTGTCATGTCCAGCTATTATCGTCATATTCACGAGCATCTGGGGACAGATTTTTGCCCTTGGGAGGTCGACCGTGGGGACCAACGCTGAGTCGACGGTATACGCCCGCAACATTCCAGTGACCATAACTGGTGTTACGGTGGCTCCGGTGAGAACATAGAGAGGTGCTGAACTTGAGGACGTTGCTATTGACAGTGCCTATAGGGGGACATCGTCTTTTGTGACCCGTTGGAGGGTGTTGTGGTCATCCCGCAGGATCTCCTCGACGAGACGCTTTCCTTGATGCCCAGACTAGTGGACGCTGACGACAAGGTAAAGGAAGCTGTAGAGAAAGGAATGACGGTGGCAGAAGCGTTCAAGAAGTTCAGAGGATAACGAGGACGTCCACTCATGAACGGTCAAACCCAGCAAGTTTTCTGATCTGCTCTAAGGCACAGCACGCACCTCCTTGAGGGGAGGATCCATGATTCGCTATTTCGTTGTGCCTGGAAAACAGCAGTTTCCTTCCTCCAGTAAAGATTTTACCATATAAAAGCCCTTCTTCACCGAATTTCCTGATTTCTTTCTCTTTTCTTTTTTTTCCAGGGAGAACAGCAGCAGCAGGCACAGCAGCAGCAGGCACAGCAGCAGCAGGCACAGCAGCAGCAGGCACAGGAACACCGACCATAACAGCAACAGCAACAGCAACAGCAACAGCAACAGCAACAACAACAACAACAACAATCATCAATCATCATGTCGTCTCCCGCCTGGTCAACCACGTATATGATGCCTTCTCAATCACCACCACCACCGACCACCATGGAGTCTCCCGCGTGGTCAACTGGCTTCCTATCGCCAGCAGCAAAGCAACCCGACCAACGTCCTCCCGGTGCCCAAGAGGCAGATTTGAAGTATCGGTGCCCATCTCCTCCCCCTCCTCCTCCAACAGAGCCATTTTTGCGTCCTGGCATCGCGCCATATCAACCACCACCCTTCGGCAAGGGGCCCGAGGTGCCCAAGAAGCCCGCCCCGAAGTCAATCCTCAAGAAGCATCCTCGGATGCCCCAAGACCCGCTGGCGCCACCCAAGAAGGCCAAGCGAGTACGATTCTTTTACAGAATCGAATTTATCAAAACGACCGAAGAGTTGCTAGAAGAGAAGCGCAGGGAGGAACGAGACGTGGAACGAGCAGCCGCACGGCGGAGGAAACGCGAAGTGGAGAGGCAAAGGAGGGAGAGGGCCGAGCTCAGCAAACAGAGACGCATGCAGAGGGCTAGACCTAGGTGAATTTTTTCATAACAAGCCTATGGATTTTTATGAAGAATAAAGGTACATCTAAAATGATGATTTCTTTGTCACTGTTCTACTCTCTATTCCTCTCATGTGTATATTGTGAGTGAGTGTGTGTCTGCATGACCCCCTTCTCAAGTTACTCTCCCTTTGCTTTCTCTACCAAAAGTTATAATATTACTATCCTCCTCCCCTTGTTCTTCTTCTTCTTCTTCTTCTTCTTCTTCTTCTTCTTCTTCTTCTTCTTCTTCTTCTTCTTCTTCTTCTTCTTCTTCTTCTTCTTCTTCTTCTT